TAGTTTATTCTCTAAGACTCCTTAAATAATTAATCACTAATGCTTCCTTTAAAATCTAAAATTACTATAAAACATACATTGCAACGAAACCTACTTTAAGGAAAATATTTAGTTTTTATCGTAGTGGTGTCGAGTCCTTCCGGAAGATACTCTAATAGAATCCAAACCCTTAAAATGAAAAGCTGCTTGATCAACCATTGATCACGCGCCAAATTTTTCGCACAGATATCCTCTTTTAGATAGGATTTCAACAGCAGGTAGCATCTCAGGAAAAAGGAAGATGACATTAGATAATTTTAACTGGACGTGAATAAACTACTCATGCAGTCGTGCTTTCTGCAGAGATATTAAAACTGGACTGCAGATATTTCTCAGGTGAAGAACGTGGGTGTATGGTAGTGGATGTAAATTCAGAAAATTCAAGTGGAAAAAGATTAGATTAGAGTAGCATGTTCTGTATCGATTCTTGGGGTGGAGATATGTCCATTAACATCTCCAAATAATTTGACTAGGAATCAGATCTATTATTTAGAAGGGCACAGTAGAGCAAATTCAGATAAAATTGTAGCATCAGCACGAACAACAAATGGCACATATTAAAGGGAGATATGATGGAAACATAACTCATCAGTTAATTATATATTCGAAAAAGAAACCAATTCAAGACACAAACCTTTCTGGCAGACGGGCACTCAAATTTTGATTTCCTGATGATGAATCTGCATGAAAAAGAAAGTATCAAATTTTCATGCATACAACAACATCGTGATACATACTGCATATCAAACTGCCTTTTTCCCAAAAAGATGTCGTGCTTTGTGATGAAGGTATTCCTCCAAATAATATCTTGGACATTTTCCATTGAGAAGTTGACATTCACAGACATTAGTGGAGATAAAATGTAGTCGAAAGAGGACACAACATGCATTAGCTAGAAATAGAGGGCAGATCGAAAAGAAAAAGATTTGAGAGTTGAAAACTACCAATGTCATCAGCGAACGCATCAGCCAGTTTATCACATTTGACTTTCAGACGAGCCTCAATCTCATGGGACAGAGACATCTGGTACTCTGTCATATCCTACATACCAAAGCAGGAATGAATATTCTCCCTTCAACTTTTTCAATTTGTGGCAACAGGTTTCATTAGAGCATGAAAATGAAAAGTAATGAAATAGACAGTACCAGGGATAATACAAAATAACACATGATCAGTAACCTATCGGAGCAATACATATATGAATCATTTCATGAATCAGTACCACAGATAGTGGTGCCCGTTGAAGCTGAGTTTGCCATAAATACGCAGGTGTAATTCCAAGAAAACGGTTAGGAACACCACCAACTCCAGGTTCCACCGCATCAGCATTGCTAATTGATGGAGAATTATTGGCAGTGCCTAGACTGCTATTTGTAGAGATGTTTGTATAATTTATGGAATTAGTGCTTGAACTGATGGTAAAGCTAGTACTAGTGCTATCAATGGAGCTTCTTGACATTATACTCCACTTCTCAATTTCATCCTCGTGGATCTCTCCATCTTTCGATATTAAAGGAAGCCTCAGTCTTTGAGCTGCTTCTGCGACAACCAGACGGTGCTCTAGAGTCTCATATACCTATAATCAGGAAAAAGATGCAGCATGTTACAACAGATGCAATGCCAAAGGAAAAGTCTCAATATAGAGCAACAGAGTCAGGCATCATTTCAATGGCTAAGCATCAAATAAGTATGTTCCATGTGGAGGAATTTTTCAATAGTTTAGAAGCAAACTTGGACACAAATAGCTATGCCAAGAGCACCACTTCTGACACATTTCCACGGCATTTTCATGCATTGTTATAGCTGAACAGAGTGTTCCATACAGCTATTCTGGAGCATGGCACCACAACTCATGAAGGAAAGAAAACGAGAAGCACCAGAAGTCAGTAGGTCAGTTCATCTGCTCAAGGACACAAGAATCAAATAACTATTCTAGTCACACAACATAGACTATTACGATAGAATATCAAAAGACCTGCGGGGAGTTCTTCAATCCGAGCTGTGGATACAAACCCTGAAGATCACGAATCCCGCCGAGATTAGCCACCGAAACAGCCTGCTGATACTCTTCAACCATAGCAATTGCCTCGCAATAGATCGCCTAAATCAATTCCACCACAAGATACAGAGAACACGAACCGCTTCAAAGTCAGACCTAAACAATGTACAGAAGGAAAGAGCACCGAAACCGTCACATTAGTAATGTCCTGTAGAACAGCAATCTCACCATGGCTTCCAGATAACGCAGCCTCTCTCTGGACATCTCCTCTCTCGCCTGACACATCAATGCACGAATCAACAAACACTTCGACCGAATAGGACTGCAATCTCTCTCAATGCAACGACACATCTCGAGATCGAAACAGATCAACCAAGCCTAATTCCAATCAGCCGTTAACGTACGATCCTACGATCTAAGCGATCGCAAACTCGTTTCCGCCGCTCTCCTCGCCGTCGTTTTCTCCGCGACAAAACACGAAAGAGCGAAATTACTCGAGGGGAGAAAGAGAAGGCGGAGGGGGGAAGTAGAGAGAGAGAGTTACGAGCTGGAGGTCGTAGTAGGCGGATTTGGAGACGAGAGAGCCGTCGGGAGCCAAGCAGTGGCGCTCCAGCTGATCGACGACCTGGGAGACGTCGGCCGGCAAACTCTGGCCGCCGCCTCCTCCCCCGCCGCCGCCCTGCAGCCCCTTCGCCATCGAAAGAGGAAGCGCCCCGCCGGTGGATCTCAGCGGCGGCAATGGCGGTGTCGCAGGAAAATGGCTGATCGCTAGGCGATCCGCCGCCTTTTGAAAGGCCACCGCCACCAACACTGGTGAGTTCTCCGGCGGTTCTGCTGTTGGATTTTTGGAGTTCAAATGATTTTGCAGAGAGGAAGGTGGGAGAAATCGCAACCTCCGCGGAATTTATATCCAAATATTCGTTAATTAAATAATTTTTTATTTACTTGCGAAAAAAAAACACAACGGCATTTCAAATTCTTTCAACTCTATTTCAATTCCCCCTCCAAAAAGAAAATTGAAACATGTACTTTTTTTTGTCGGAATTTTGAAACATATGGTCACACGAGATTAATTTATTTTCTTGGTAACATGAAGGAAAAATAAAACAAAAAAACTCAAGGGAGGTTTTTTTAAAGGTGATTGTGCCTTAGAAACCGCCCTATGTTAAATATAAACGCAACTTCCGACCCGATCGGGGGCCGGGTGAGGCGCCCTACTTGAATGGCCACAGACAAACAACAGAAATCTCCTCTACCGCCGTTGACCGTGAACTTCTTTTTATAAATATTATCGGTAAAACTCGACTCGCAATGATTAATGGGATTGACAATCGAAAATGAATGAATTAATTGGACGGATGACAATCCCCACGAGGGCCAATGCCGACTTTAATCACAAAGAGGGGGAATGCCAAAGGTAGTGACTGAAGTAAAGTTGCAACAAGGTATTGTGAAGTAATCTCTATGAAGCTCACAAGGCATCTATATCCATCAAGATCCTAGATGTGTAAACTGCTCGAGATATCATTTAACCAGTTTCCGTGATGGATAGTTTCATTTGATGATCAGAAGTGAATTGAAAACGAAACAATGGCAATTCGGAAAGATTTCAAGCAATGGCAATTTAAAAGATTTCCCGAGGGTTACAAGATAAAATTTCAAAAGGTTCGTTCCACGCTTCACTGGGTTTGCCGTCATATAGGGCCCGTTTGGTTCGGCTTTTCAAATGTTACTTGGGGGAATGCAATTACCTTTAAGTGAAAGCCATTTGGGGAAATGCAAGTAGTGTTTGGTAAAAAATCATTTGAAAAGCCACTTAGGGAAATGCAATTGTGTTTGGTAAATTCCTTTTTACAAATGGACTCTGGGAGGTTTTTTTTTTTTTTTTTTAAAGTACCCTTCGCCGGCTTCGGCGAAGGGCTACGGCCACCGACGAGCCAGATTTGGCGCCGGCGGCCGTCGCCCGAGGAGGCATGAGGTCGCACGACCTCAGGCCGTCGTCGCCTGGGTCGCGCGACCTCAGGCAAAGGCCGCCTGGGCGGTCACGCGACCCAGGCCGTTGTCGCTTGGGTTGCGCGACCCGGGTGACGTGATACTGGGCGGTCGCGCGACCCCGAGGCGGCCGTCCGAGGTCGCGCGACCCGGGCGGCGATGGCTTGGGTCGAGCGACCCCAAGCGTCGCTGCCTGGGGTCGTTCGACCCAGGCGACGGCACTTGGGCGGTCGCCCTAGCCGGCCACCTTAGCTAGCCACGCTTTGCTGAGGAATTTTTTTTTTTTTTTTTGGAAACAGTCAGCATTTGTGAAATGCCGAATTCAGCATTCCAAATGCTAGCTTTCGGCTTTCCGGACTCGGAAAGCTGAACCAAACTGGACCAGCTTTGGGCTTTCAGCATTCCAAATGCCAGCTTTCGGCTTTCCGAACTCGGAAAGCTGAACCAAACGGTTCAACATTTTGGGAAGGGGCTTTCGAGGCCGAAAACCCCTTCCCAAAGTTGAACCAAACAGGGCCATACTTAAGGTCTTCCGGAGTGAGTAGGGAAATTAACTTTGCTTTTATTTGCGTGATACTACAACTCAAAAGGATTATACGTTAGGAGACCGTAAGTAGAATGGTTGTAAGTAGAATGTAGTATCTAATCACTTCTTGATTCCAATATTAGCAAGAGGATATTTTGTGCAGCGATGAAGTTGGAATAGTAGACTTTAGACGTTAAATTATTCAGTTTTGTACCTTTATTTACCAAAAAAAAAAAAAAGGATTATAGGCAAGACATTGGCAAATTTTGAATCAGATGAAAGTATACTTCTCATACAAAAGCTGAACATGAATAATTGTATGTTACATCTTTTGCGAGTCGAAGACTCTGATCATTTCGAAATTTCCTCATTCTCAAATAAAAGACAAGCAAAGCAATCTAGAAGATGTGCTGCACTTTGATCATATGGAGCCAGGCGGCAAGATTAGAAAGGTACATGCCTTCACAAATCATTGTACAAACCTTGAATTTGAATGAAACCGCACAAGCTGAAGCTCACATATGATTCAACTCCGAGTCTAATTGAGCTTTTAACTCAATCTTCGCACATTGTCAAGCAAACATCCGTTCCAGAAGAAAGACAAAATATTTCCCCAAAACATCTCTTGACGCCTTCACTTGGCCTCTTTATTTTTTGGTGTACTTGTAATGCAGTTGTGTGACACAATGTGCAACAATCTCGATGATCCCGAAGATGCCCAAAATTGTGAGAACAACCTACAAAATGTAAATTTTGGCATAAAAAGAAAAAACCCGAAATCAAGACTCAACACTGGAGTCTTGAAGGTTCTCTCTCGAATAGGAACTGCCTAGTCAGCCCATCTTGAGCCATACCCACTATTCTCATCAGTGAATCTCGCAAAGAAGCAGGAACAGGACCCGGAGCATTGCAGTATTGAACCTTTAGAACACCAGGAGGAATAGCTTCAAGTCGGCGGTTGCCATGTCCCCGGCTTGAACGATGCACCGGATCCTGTGGGCTCCGTTGACCTGAAAGGTGATCTGATTTAGTTATGGTCTCATATGGGACAAGCCCCATAACATAAAGCATCCCTATCTCCAATGTTCTTTTTTCACCCAACACTAGTGAAAGCTCAAAAGTCTGTTATGAGACAGGCCTCCACTAGCAAAACTCGTCAACATTCTAACGCACAGTATAGAAACCGCTATAACATTTTGGAAACAAAATTTTTGTGCACCGAATCACTAATTCAATTCCAAAGGAACTTACTCTGGGACTGGCTTCTCTTCTTCTTCTTCTTTCGTTCTTTCTTTAGTTTGTCTGCACAAGATAGAAGTCCAGCCAAAGCACGCATCAATCACATTTGAACTGTGTCTCTCTCCATTGTAAGTGCGTCTGAAAACTTATTCTTTGGTTTTTCCCTACTTTATCCTTTGTTTCTTTCCTTATCCTTTCTAATTTGTCGGGAAGCAATGTGCCCGCAATTCCCTTGACCACAATATCTCGAAGCAATACAAGATGATGAAGAAGATATTGATGATTGTCACAAGCTACATAATGCGAAAAGAAAAACAGAAAAGGAGGTATTTCTATGGTTCAAGACAAAGCAAGAACAAAGGAGCAATGTTATTTGCTAACGACAAGCTCTAACAAAATGCTTAATGATAGTATCGTAGCTTGACTTGAAGTACTTACATAGGAAATCGAGTTGGCAATGAACAAGTTTTGCAGCACAGCACAAAAAGGAAATAGGAAAGGAGTAGTAGGGGTGTCTTCAATAATCATAGTAGAAAAGTTTGCTCTTATTCTTCACTTTCCTGTAAAGAGAGAAATATAAGCTACTCACCTCATGCTGTCTGCTTTATCCGATGTCTCCTCAACCTCGTCACCTTTGCAAGACAACATCACAGTGTCAACATAATTAGCAACTAAATTATTCAGTGTTGGCGTATGTCTTACATTGGAAGCATAAAAAGAAGTAAAAACTGTAGTTCTGTCCCTAGGGCAAATTCGGAGCCTTTTATTTACTTATATATCTGGTTCTGGAAGGTGGGGAGTGTCATGTGGGGGAGTATTCGAAACCATAAGTATGATGCAGAATGTTAACTGTTTAAGTGCACTGGCGGGGGAAGTGATGATAAATTGGTATGCTCAAGTCAATAAAAGCATCAGAAATGATCTAATACTTATTCCATTTGTTGAAGTATATTTAATGGTGTTAGTCAGTACCTAGTAGGTGAGTCTTAATTAAGGTAATTAGGGTTTTTGGGTGTCTCTCATTCTCTATAAGTAGATCCATCTTATGAACTCTTTCATCAAGTCATTCAGTAAAGCTGTAGCCTTTGAATCTTTTCTCTCTCCCTATACAGCTTTAGAGGTGGAAGGCTAGATTTGAAGTTATTTTTGCAAGGACGATGTTTGACAGCGTACTTGTACTCACATCTCTGTCCATCATTTAACAGTAGACAACTGTAACCGGAAAACAAAAACAGTAACCGACAGTAATGTTTCCTTCAGCTCTCAACAGTCTGGTGACTACATGCATGTTTTCTGAGACTGTTGAATGATTCATGTAATCCTCCTACTATAAATAAACTAACTCCGTAATTGCAATTGGTAATTCAATTTATCATATAAAGCTCATTATATATAACAGCTTTATCTTTTAACATGCAATAAAAATATAAATACACAAATCATCATACCATCTGCAGAGGATGGAAACTGCCGAACAAAACTTAGCAAGTCTGGACCTCCAACTTTACCTACAAAAAGGGGTTGTATAACCAGGGGTTTAGAAAGGTTGATATGCAATCACAGAGAAATAGAGCAAAGAGCAGACCAGCGCTCATGCTTTTGCAGATACTGCCTTCTTTCAATTTCTTTTCTTCTTCCTCTTTTAACCCTGTGGAAATGAAAGCAGTCAATGAAATGAAAAACTCATAAAAAAGCAGGGAGTTTAGATAGAAAAAAATCTGAAAATGCCAATGCAGCGATTGTACACATTGGAATTGACTTGAAAAGGCTGAAGTCAGAAAACATAGATGATCATCAATTAAGATCAATCCAGGCATATTCCAAGACTTAGCTGTTGTGGTCCAACATTCAACAAAATTCAAGCTGTGATGACCATTCAGTTCAGTTCCACTATATATTTACCCAACCACAAATTGGGTCTAGTTTTTGCAGATTATAGATGGCCACCACAGTTACAGCATCTGATCACACACCATGCAATTTAATATGAAGGTGTTCAAATATTTCTGTTTCAGGAAACTTCAGAAGATTTCGTGTATTAGCAAACATTTTACAGCTTAGTATGAATGACATGGAGGCCTACAACTTGACCCATTCTACAGATACAGACACAGAGAGGTAAATTTCACCAAACATTTGGCTGGAGGATAAACAATAAATAGAGACTTCATGTGAAGGTGACAGTCAAGTCAAAAGCACCTAACATGCCAACAAGTCATTTTGAATCTGTTCCGTAAGAACCATACTCTCTATCATATCAATCAATTGTCAGTGGAGAGATCAATAAGAAGCCAGGGACTAGGAGTACCACATAATGGGAAACAAAAGGAGGGGAGACAATAAATATCTAAAGATAAGTTAGAGACACATACTGGCAACATTAAGTTTAATCCGCTCACGCCTAGCTTCAAGCTCCACCATTTCCTGAAGAGAGTTGTAGCGTTATCTAATAGTGAAAGAACATAAAATCACTCCCCCAAGATATTATTGGCAGCAAGTTTAATACACTGCAAAATATTCTAAGCGTCTTTGTCAGACATGACTTCACCAACCCATCTCACGATGCAAAACAGGTGAGGACTACACCACAAAAAAGATATTGTATGCAACTTCCAGCAAAAGAGAAATCGAGTATATGTCAAGAGGAGTTAGCCGGAGTTCACTGGAGTTCAGAAGAATCCATACTTTATGGAAGTGGTGTGAGTGCATTTCAAGGGGAAGGCGAGATAAGAAAGAAATGTGACTTTGTCTGCACTCAAAATGACACCAAAAGAAAAATCAAAAGCTCCTGTGCAGAGAACTAAGCTAGTCGTATTGAGTTCTCACTGGTCATAAATTTATTCAAAAGCAGGAGGTTTTCCTCACAAATTTGTTGCAGAACTAAAACTAACAGAAAAGGAAGCATTTGAACAAATCCAAAGTCCGCCATTACTGCACAGACTACTCTCTGTATTAATACAAAATCTAGCAATTCGACATCTGCGGTGCATATTGATTTTCTTAACTGTAGAAAGGTTAAAGTACAACTTTGTTTTTCCTAGAACTTCACACTATCTTCTTCAGTTCTCTTTTTCTCCAGACCTACCCCTTTCATGTTCGAAGTTTCCCTTTTTCCTTCCCTCTAGGTGCGCAGCTAACAGTTGTGTATATAGAAATAGAGCTAACTTTACCTCTGGAGTCGGAGCTATCTTACGCTGTCCATTCAGCCAACAAATCCATTCAACTACCAGAGAAGAAAATTAAAAAGAAAACTGTCATCGGCCATTACGTTGCGATTAACATACTACTCGTAAAAATTCATAGAACCCACACTATGAACTTACGAGGGACCAGAACCAAAAAGTCATAGTCTGTTGGAAAATGCTTACCAGGAATGGATGTAGGATCCTGCTCACTCTTGAATACCACCCACCTTTTCTCCTTCACTAGTAAATACATCCATAAAGTACATTGTAAGCCAACAATGCGCTGAATTATTTAGTAGTGCAATTCATTCGCGTACACAAACAAATTACATACACGGACATCTCTTTTCTTTTTCAATCAATCTCATACTACAGCAAGCACAAGTTCCCGTAGATGACGAGTCCAAATCTAAGCACAGCTATCGTTCACATTTTGTTTTACATGATTATCTCAGCTAATTAATTAAACACTTCACGAGCATTAGCTCAAATGTGTGCCCAGCCACTCTGTGGTAGCAATGTTGGAGTCCTTCAGGAGCAACCAAGACATTTCAAATCCAACATTGCACACAACCCAAGTGGCAAACAAGGTTACACATAACCAATTGGACTGATAACAACAGAATCACTATCTTTCAGTACTTGTGTAACTTCATTAGGCATACAGCTCATTCCTTTTGAGCCATCAAAACCCCCCCACACAGAAGTAGCTGAAACAGAGTCGCCTACCACAACTGGAAATAACTTATGCACGAAATTCGAACATTTCTTCGCTGCTATGAGAAACCCATAAGACATGTACATTACAAAGAGGGAAAAAATGGGAAGAGAAGATGAAAGCGCGAGGCACTGACTGATTCCATCGATCTCTTCTTTTCGGGCGAAATAGCGATTCCCAGATTTATCCATGCCGAAGAAAGTCCGGCTGCTCAAATATCCGGCAATCCTCGAAAAGATCTTCGACATTACCCCCCTCTCTCTCTCTCTCTGCAAATTCAGAGAATCTTGATTCTCTTTACGAGTATAGACTGGTGGGCGAGGCGCTAGGCAGCGACCAAGACGATACCCAAAAGTGGAACGAACGTTGTGGTGATCGAAATCAGGCGTGGCTCAAGCACAGCACAGTGTAGCAAGCGGGCCACGAAGAAGAAGAAGAAGAGGAAGAAGATGCTGACAAAAATCTGGTTTTTTTGTTTTCGGAAGAGAGAGACTGCAGAGAGGTGAAAGGCCGGTCCAACTTTGTGTGGGACTCGGTTCGCGTCGATCCGTCGAAGATTCGCATAAACCGGTCCGGACCGGACACGAGTGGGAGAACCAAAGGGTGCTCCCAAATTGAGTTACAATCCGTAAAAGGTTCTTAGGCCTATCATTTCTCTTTTAGTCAAAGCTGTCAAATTCAAGATTTGCCCGGATGTTACCAAATCGGTCACCTTTTCATGTAAAGCCCGAATCGAATTATTTCACTTATTTATCATTTTAACGTGATTTTGAAGATGAGTCGTATGCTTGACAAGATGAATGATTACATATTATAAAAGACGAGTCAAACTTGAGTAGTGAGAATTATATTGAGATCCTATTTGGAAAGGCCTAATTCTCTATTGAATACAATAGATTTTGTAGCGACTGATTTATAATTTTCGAGGAGACTTACCATGGAAGCGGAGGACCTGAGTTGAAGGCTTGAGATCTTAGCTTAACACCAACCACGCCAGAGTACGGCCTAAAAATTTCGTCGTTAAGTATTTTCTCTTGGTATGCCACTTTGTAATGTTTGAACTTTCAAGAGAGAGATATGTTCGAATGTATTTGTGCTTATTGTTTTCAGAGCTCTTTATCTTTCTAAGTATTGATTAGTGTGTTTTCGCTCTTTTGGCCCATGAACACATGCCATCGATCGAATCACGTAATTATCTAATCTTTCTACTCTCGATTCCATTCATCGTTTTTGCATAAAAAAGACCGTTCTTAATAAAATGAAGGAAAACAAAAAAAAAAAAAATCTCCCGGAAGTGGGTCTAATTTCTCGAAAGATTTTGAAAGCGGGTTTTCTTTCTAGAAAAAAGCACCTGAAGTTGGACCCCGTAGCCATCGTCCGCCAAAATCACTGGCCGTTGATGCCGGGGCCTCATTTGAAAGAATGTCGCCAATTTTCAGGGGTCTTTTGGAAACAAACTCTATCTGAGGGGAGGAGGATTTGGCAAAATGATACGCACTTCAGGAAACAAACTCTATCTGAGGTCGAGCGTGATGGCCGCCCGCGGCGACGGCCGCCCGGGTCGCGCGACCCAGTGCGACGATCGGCCGGGTAGCGCGACCCTAGGCGACGGCCGCCCGGGTCGGGGCGCGGCCTAGGTAGCGCGACCCGGGCGGCCGTCGCTGGGGTCGCTGCGACCCGGCGACGGCCGCCCGGGTCGCGAGCCCAAGCCGACGCGTCGCCCGAGGTCGCGTGACCCGGGCGACGGCGCTCGGGCGGTCGCCCACCCCAAGCGGCCGTCGCCTGGGTCGGACGACCTCGCCGGCGCTTCGCCGGCCACCCTCGCCGGTGAAGAAGATGAACAGTAATAGGGGCAAAATCGGAATATTAAAACTAAAAATTGCCAAAGCTCTTTGCAAAAAAAAATTTACCAAACACTACTTAGGCCAAAGTAGCTTCACAAATTTTTTTTTACCAAACACCACTTATATTTTCCCAAGTGACTTTCACCTAAAGGTATTTGTATTCCCCCAAGTTGCATTTGAAAAGCCGAACCAAACGGACCCTCTATATGAGGGGAGGAGGATTTGGCAAAATCATATGCAATTCAGGAGATTTTTGGAATTTTAGGATTTCGTTGCACTTTATGAAAGTTATGGGACTCAATTATACTTTTATGGTAAATTTTAAAACTTTCGGCGCACTTGTTTTGAATTTTCCTTAAAATAGAAGAGGAATACAAAAATTTAGAGTGAGAAAGAAGAAATACAAAGCTGGTTGCTTTTCGGCGGCCTCTGCGAACGTGGAAGAGAGAACAGTCTCAGAGAAAATAGTCATCGCATGAATCACCAGCGATGGAACATCTACGGACGCTCTCCCAAGATTCCCTCCTCCATTTTCCACCGCTCTCTCCTTCCCTTTGGAAAAAACTTGTCGAGCGTCCAGAAACGAACAGAACGCTTTCAATAAATCGTGTTATAATCATGCGCCAAAACCGCAGCTTCTTCATCGCGTACAAAGCCCAAGTGCATTGAATGACGGCTCATCATTCGCATGCGGGTCACATCGTTGCCGGACAGCAGGATCTGGCCATAAGAAAAAAAAGAGGATCTCTCTTTCAACAAATTCTGTTCTCAAGCTCTTTCATGGACCCCTCTGGGCGCTCTAGAAGGACGGCAAGTTGAAATGACCCATCTGTTCCGCTCCAGGACGGCATCGCGACGCTTGGCCCATCGCGGGCTCAGTGGTCGTGTCTGTTTTACAAACCAGCCCGCGGGACGAGCCTGCCCGATATGTTTTTGGTATTCATCTGCCGGTCGATTGCTGGTTCGGCAACTAGGAAGATGCAGAGCAGGTTAATAATGCAGGGAGATATACTGTACAGACCCTGTGATGAGGTGTTACTGTGCATTAATTAATTGGGTTCCTAAAGCTGGCTGGATCCATTGATTGAGTTAGCCAAGATAAGGCTATTTGATAAGGATGTGCACATCCTGTTTATTACCTGTTGACATTCCATATTGTTTTTCTTTTGGGGTCGGATATTATTCCTTATACAATAGCTCCTTTCCTGTATTTTGCCCCAGTAGATTTTGCTCACATCCCTATCTCGTGTTCTCCCTCTCTCTCTCTCTCTCTCTGTGAACAGAACGTACAACGTCGGCCTCTGAATCACACATGAAGACCGTGTGATTCAGAAGGACAAAAAGATGTCAGGCCTGTCTCACTCGATCGCTCTCTCTCTCTCTCTCTCTGGATCTTGAGCTTCGATAAAAGGCCGCCTCCATCGCTGATATTCCCTCCTTCAGTATTCTTCGGGCGAGCTGGTTGAACTCTGGTTCTAACAGAGCCAGTAGATTTCGTGGGTCATTTTCAAATTGATTGAAGAGATTCCACAAATACTCCAGTTTTCTCCTTTTCAATGACATCTTCTTTATTGATCATTTTTTGCAGAGATTTACATTCATCGGTGCTAAGCTTTGACTCCGCAAGATTCTTGATTCAGAGGTTGGTAAAATTCCTTCTTCCAAGTTTCTTTCAACTCAATCCTGTCCTCTCGACCCGAGTTTCATCTTTCGGCAAGATTGGATTTTGACCTTGATACTACGTGCAATTATTGAATCACCTCTAGTACAATCAATTTTCCTTGTTTTTTTTTTGGTGGGTGTGTGCAGTGATTGATGGAGGACAAGAATGGTTACTATTTCCAGGGCAGTGGTCTGTGGAGATCCTTACGAGATGGCGACTTTGAAGAATCGGACATGTGGGATGTTCTTGACGACAAAAAAGATCACGGCCCAAAATCGCACTGCACCTCCGAACCCTCCGGGTCTTACTCAAGCCAAAACCCAATACATTCCGCGGCAAAAATGATCCCGAGAGCAAGCAGTGGCAGTGGCAGTAGCAGCGGCTCGACCCCTGAACCCAAAATCATTCAGCAATCGGCACCCGTCAATGTCCCAAACTGGTCACACATTAAGAGGCGAAATGCCAAATCCATGAAAGCTTCCTGGAGAGGAAATGATGGTAATGGTGACGATGAAGCTGGCGACGAGGATGTGCACTATGCAGGAGAGAGTGATGGAGATGAGGATGAGAATGATTATAAGATGCCACCACATGAATTTATAGCTTCCAGGCTTGCAAGGAGTCATATATCGTCGTTCTCGGTTTGCGAAGGTGTTGGGAGGACTCTTAAGGGGAGGGATCTCAGCAAAGTGAGGAATGCTGTTCTGACCAAAACTGGGTTTCTCGAATCACTTTGATAAGACTATGGAAATTTTTAGTGAGTTGAAACGCCATGTCATTGATTGTTCTTAAAGTCATATTCTCAGGGTTGTGGTATAGCCTTCTGAGTTGAAGATTGTGTAGTCATTTTAGAGTGAACATATAAGAGCTTCAATTTCCATGTAATATAATCTCCATTTATGTAGAGTTTGGACTAATAATCCTGTGAAGGGGTTGTGAACTTTACATTTATCTCCTACGCCACATCTTCATTTGGAGGAGAGGAAGCAACCCCATCACAGGAATCAATTGCTGAATTTCTGCATAGTTCTAATCAGTTTCATCTACATGCTGAAAAATCTAATAGTCAAGCTCACTTCAAGAACACTCACCGTCATGAATCGGTCACGGCGATCAATTTTACCAACACGCGGGGTGTGTTTTATACACGATTGTTCTGAGGCCATATATCTCAGTTCTCTGTTTCTGGGAGCCTCTCTTAAGACTTAAAGGGTCATTGTGTATCTGTCTACTCAGCTTTGACCTTGGTAGAGATTTAGTCATGGAGACTAATTTATCCTGCACATGTTGTAAGATGCACGGTACCAGCAATAATTTTAATCTTTGCCTTTGGACATCTGGTATGGATATACGGGACCAACTTGCTATCCCTCATTCCATCTAATTTCTGTTTCTTTTGCTCGTGTGGATGAATGCCAATGACTCGGCCGACCCGTGGAAAGCGTGGACGAACTCGCCATCAGATTCTTCCAACAAGTCTAAAACATATTAGCATATCGGACAGGTTTCTCTGTCAGTCTATTAAATGCTTCAGAATCCATGTTACTCTCAAAAGGTTAGACTTTGTCCGAGCTTCATTGTGCTGAGGCGACGCTACGTGTTTCATTGCACATCACATCTCTTCGACATTAGAAACCTTTAACTCATTGATTAGTCGGGTACACATCCTTTCGTGACCAATGCAAGGGGCGGATCAATGAATTCGCAATGCGAGCAGTTCCCATTCTACACTGAAGCTGTACAAATATCTTAAACAAAGATCATTGCGGCCACACAAACGTGTGGGACAACCCCGAGAACAGCAAACGGAAAATACAGAAATCACGAACGTCTGAGGCGCGCAAGCACTGTGCTAATCAGGCCTGAGGGTTCCAAATTGACCTATAGGATTGAACGGACTCTCTCTCATCCTTTCAAGAGGCGTGAGAGTTCCAACTTTTTCCTCAGATTTGAGTTGCCCGCGGTGGTCCATAAATCACGGCCCAGTAATTGACTAAAGGAGAGCCGTCAACTAGCACCAGGAATCGAAAGAGAAATGCCAACTGCCCTCTTCATATTTTTCTGTATCAACTTGAGATTCCCCTTTGTGTTCCTCGACGACAAAACGTCATTTTCATGCAGTTTTCCGCAGCTTTTCTCTATAACCTGAGTGGTTTTTTTATGCCGATCAATGCAAGTGCGTGAAAGACTGATTGGTAAGATGACGAATGAATATCCTTAGATGACTATTTAAAGAAGTGGGACATTAAATAAACACGCAACCCGTAACTTTTTTTCTTCTCTCTTTCCGTCGCACCATTCGAACTTTATGACCGTTTTCTTAGCAAAAGGTTTAAGTAGTATTTCGAGCCGATTTCCGTGCCGTCCAGACTTAAATCACCTTCCTAGCCCCGATTCGAGTCGAAGAAATTTGTTCCTCCTAGCTAGGTCCTAAGAGATCCCGTCGAGCAAAATTCGAATCCGAGACTTCGCGCTTCTCGAGACGCATTGTCCCGACTATTTTATCGCTCGATCGACTTGACTTAATTTCATAGGCCTCGTACATTTGTGATACATCATCATGGAGCTGGTCTCTTTCCTTTGTGATCGGTCACGTACCGAACTCGACTTGATTCCCGGTTGTAACATATTCATTCGTTTCTTTTGCTGGACGTACAAGAGCATGTGCACTTGGAGGACACCTCACATGCATATGGATGACAATTGCATTTTCCCGATTTGAGGCTTGATATGCATTGATGTGTCCAAGAGCCTAATCGAGAGTTCGCAATTTTTTACGGAATGCATCTGTTACGTAATTCGCTTTAATTATCTACCCATATCGGTAGTCGACTAAGTCGAGACCACAGTCTAAATACCTTCGCGAATTGTGAAAATATTTTTCGTTCTTTCATTTTTGTAAGCGATACCAAGCGATCATTTTTAGGAATGCGTTTTCCAAACCGTTCATTTTCCACAAAACAAACACACCCTATGATTGACCTGGTGACAGGGCAATTCCCATGCTTTTGGCTTGGGAAAAGATGGTTGTGAATTCGGATCATGTCTTAGAGAATTGGGATTTAATTGGAGGGTCGTGACGGTAATATGAATTACTAATTTATAGAAAGGAAATTATTGACAGAGTACAAAGAAATTGTACACGTATATATGGCAAAAAAATATGAACTTTTTTTGAAATTTAATTTCGAATTTTAAAATTGAGAAAAATTAAAATTAAAATATTGATTTAAACATTTGTTTAAGAATAAACTAACCGGGGATATTTTGAAAAAAAAAACGGTGATCCTTAGGAAGTCCTTTTTGTTTTACATGATTTTATATGATGTACATAAAAACAAGGTGGTGATTCCGGTGAAAATAGGATAAAAACGATTCAAGAGATTACAAACTCTGCCTTAAACATATTCATGGTATGGTTTAATTAATACTTATGTTACCATGATAAGCCTTTCTCGAAAACTAGATTAAAGTCAATTTTCGACTATGTAAAGGCATTAAAAATTTTGAAAAAATTCGATATTTTCCAATAAAATCATGCTCGTGGGACCTTACAATCTATCGTGGTCATAATAAGTTTGCACGACCGGTTAGAGACCTTTAGGAAATACGTAGAATGATATGACGACATTGTTAATGCAAGATCGACATCCATTTTCCATAAAATAACACATTTAGACGATCGATTTCCATTGAGTTTTTGTTTAAGTTTTTATTGCCGAAATCGCTTGCTTCAATTTTTTTTCAAAATAATGAAAAGAAAATGGTCAAAATTCATGAAACTCTATGGGCCTGTTTGGTTCGGCTTTGGGGGAATGCGTTTAGCAAAATGCAAATACCTTTGAGTTAAAGGGGTTTTCCGAAATGCAAGTAATGTTTGGTAACGTGTCTTTTAAAATCACATTTGAAAATAACTTTGGTCTAAATACCTTTTGGTAAAATCTTAATTTTGTAAAGGACTTTTGCTAATATTTTTTTAAAAAATTTTTTTGGCCTGAACCAGCACCGCCGGCGACTGTCCGGCGACTATCCGGCAGGCCAAAACGGCCGCCGGCCAACCTCCGGCGGCCAGATCTGGCCGCCGCCAGCCTCGCCTGAGGTCGGCCGACCTCCGGCGACCACCGCCTGGGGGTCGCCCGACCCCGGCGACCACCGCCTGGGGTCGCCCGACCTCACGCAGCGCTTGGGTCGCGCGATCCAGATCCGGGTCGCGACCCGAGCGCGCGCTCGGAGGCCGGGGCGACCCCAGTGGTGGTCGCCGGGTCGAGCGACCCTGGCGATCGCCACTGGGGTCTGGGCGACCTCCGGCGACCGCTCGCCGGGGGGTCGCTCGACCCCGGCGACCGCCGCCTCGGATCCGCTCGACTCGGGCGGCGCTCGGGTCGCGCGACCAGATCCTGGGTCGCGCGAGCCGAGCGCCGCCCTCGAGGTTCGCGATCGCCGCCTGGGGTCGGCCGACCTCCGGCGACCACCGCCCGAGGGTCGCCCGACCCCGGCGACCTCAGCGGCGGTGGTCGCCGGAGGTCGGCCGACCCCCAGGCGGCGGTCGCCGGACCCCTCAGGCGGCCTCCGGTGTGGCTCCTTGGGCGCGATGAACAGTAGCGGAATGAACAGTGCCACTTGCATTCCGAAAATGCAATTTCCCCAAGGGACCTCAGGAGGTGCATTCAGCCAAAGGCCCTTGGGGAGCTTTGGAGATGCAATTGCATCTCCTCAAAGCTTGCAAAAAAAATTACCAAACAACTTTGCATTTGCCCAAGGACCTTTAGAGCCCCAAAGCAGCTTTGAAATGCTGAACCAAACAGGCCCTATATCGGCCTGATTCCATTTCCTACAAAGCCACACATAAAAAATGAGAAGAACAAGGTTTCTTGATAACATGCCTTTTGTTGTGGAGTGCATCATGCATCCATTTTTTGAAAAAGAGCTTCTACTAGAGAACTTGACTCTGTTCCAAAGATGGCAAACGGGATGTTTTTGTGTTTGCCCATAAAAGAAGACCTTCCTCTTGTTTCTTTCATTACCTACTCTTTTGCCTCATGGCGATCTTATCTTCCTATGTGCTTTCGGCAATCTCTCTCGCAAAAACGTGTGTTAAAACAATTCGTATCGCTTGTGTAGAGGCTTATATGCTCTTTATATATACGCGGTGTCTTTCCACTTATGAGCTTAAGTATTGAAGTTGGGCTTTCTAATAGTGTACTTTTTTGAGTTTGTGAGCGCAAGAATAGTTGAATGGTTTATTGTATTTGTCAAAGCATTCAAAATGGTCAGACATGTGATGAATGATTTATCTTTCTTATTCTTCCCCGGAAATGTGGGAGTAGTCCTTCCACGATATGAAGCATTGATGAGGATAGGGGTGAGCGGTTTGGAACCTGGATCCTACCAATAGGAACATGTTCCTCATTTTTTGGAATCTGGAATCTACTCTATATATCTTGAAACCTGGAACCTATCCCGCCACAGGTTCTAGGGTCTATCCAGGTTTCGCCTGTATTATTAATTGAACAACTGCGGTGAATTATTACCTTTAATGACCCTCGATTGCTGCTACAATCCACTGACCATAACTTATATTTAGACGCACGAAAAATATGAAACATTAACAAGTCATAAAATAAAACATTAGACTAGTGGTTTCAGATTATACACTCATCACCTAATGTCATGGAACATTGCAGGATCACACGAAGACGTAAATAAAGAAAAAACAAAAAAAAACTTTTTTAATGTTTCAAGCTCCAGTCAGGTTTCAGGTTCCACCTACTTGAAACATGGAACACACCCTTCAAAATAGGTTCTTCAATTTTTAGAACTTGAATCCTACATCACATACCGTGGAACCTGGAACCTACAGGTTCCAACTGGCCAGATTCTCAGTTAATCGGTTAGGTTATTAGGTTTCAGATTCTAACTTGGAACCATGCTCGCCCCTAGACGAGGACACACTTAATGAGAGGAAAAATAATTACAACATGACCAAAACTATATATTATGGTCCTCTTCTCGACTTAATAGGTAACAAATCTCGTCACCGTTATCAACACGAACTACAAAAGTTGAAGACAGTGAAAAGAGGGTAAGAAAAACAAAAGGAAAATTTAGATGAGCCGGCATTATATTCCAACTCACAAAATTAGAAAGTCAAATCAAATTTGAATTAGACTTTATGCCATAATACCAGATACATACACAAAATCCATGCATATTCAGCTTTTGCCTCACTGGCCAACCCAAAAAAACAGCAAATTTCTGCTTAATATTCTCAAAATTTCTATATCAGCATGCCTCAAATCATTAGATATTATCATGAAAGTTTTTCCTTAAAAAGGGTATAAATAATATGCACATAAAATCAAACTAGTCACCGGTCGGTAATAAATTCAATTAACATGCAAAATAGAAAGTATCGATCGGGGACCGTTACATCTACTCCGTCAACAACGTGAGAAATTTTGGTCCGAATATCGAATATGATTATATGATTGTTCTTGAAAGTTCCATACTCAATCATTTGAATTTTCGATTTCGACACTCTTATTTTCATAATTTACTCGTTTCACTTTTGGTGCAAAAAGAAATCCATATTTTCAGGATCACGCACGGGTAAAATGGATTGGGCTGTCAAGAATCTTGCTAGTGAGACAACATGGATTGGGCTCCTACTGAATTCTTGGGCAAGAATGGTATGGATTCACACCCCAAGGAAGTGGCGAAACCAAGCTGATCATGATCTCGCTCTCTACTCTGCACACTTGAGTTACACTTCTGTGTAATTTCTCAATTCGAATGAACCCTTCGTTTCATCATTTCGTAGCAAGTGCTGCTCGACCACAATCCTCGTGCTGCTAACTTGAGATCTCTTGGGTCGAAATGTCGGGAAACACGTTATATATGGGTTTCGCCTAAGAAAATTGTCAAAAAAAAATTAAAACCTATTGCACTTTGACCAATTCAGTCATAAACTTTTCAATTTTGCCAATTGAGTCCATATATCCCAATTTTAACCGGAAATCGTTGATGTGGACACCGGTAATGCCACACGGTATTGCCGGTGCTGATATAGATGGATTTTTAAATTATTATTATTATTTGTTTCTTTTTCTTTCTTTCTTTCTTTTCCTTTTTTTTCTACTAAATCCGATGAGGGTCGCTGGCCAACCCTTGCCAGTCATAGGCAAGGGCCGCAAAGCCCAAGCCCTTGCCGGGATTCCAGGCTTCAAAGAAAAAAAGGAGAAAAAATTCAGAATTTTTTTTAAAATTATAAAAATTGTACATGTCAGTACTGGCCGTCCTACTCTACATTGGCGATTTCCGATTAAAATTGGTCGGATGGACTCAATTAACAAATCGCGAAGAGGTTTAGGACTCAATTGGCAAAATTGAAAAGTGTAGGACTTAATTGATCAAAGTGCAATATATTTAGGAATTTTTGAACAATTTTTCTGGCTTCACTTATGCCAAGTGTTTCTCTCTATCACCGGTTGCGAATAATCTCAAGCCTCAATCATTCTTTGATCTAATCAAGGTTAATTAAGGGGGAAATGGAATTGTCGATAGAGATCATTGTGTAGACATTTAAGGGAAAAGTACCAAAAAAGTCACAAATCTTTCAATTAGATCAATTTAGTCATAAATCTTTTTACATCAGTACCAATTTAGTTCATCCAGCCAATTTAGACTGGAAATTACTGACGTGGACGTTCGCCGTTCTACATGGCACAACCAGTGATGATGTGGATATTTTTAATAATAATTAATAATTTTTTAATTTCTTTTCCTTTTTAATTATTTTTTCTTTATTCTTTTTTTTCCCTTCAGGCTGGCTAGCGAAAGCCACCTTGCTTAGAGCTAGCAGGAACGTGGGCAAGGGCTTGCTGGCCCTCGCTTGCCAAAATGAAGGAATAAAAAAGAAAGAAAAATAATAATAAATTGGTCGAAAATAAGTGAATCGGTACTAATGTGAAATTACTTATGACTAATTTGGTCCAATTGAAAAGTTTATGATTGAATTAATACTAATACAATAAATTTAGGACTTTTTTTATGCTTTTTTCCGATATCTACCGAAAGCTAATAACTTGGTACCAAAAGTAGGAAATAGGATCTTCGTGTGCCATGATGAGGTGGAAGAATCCACACAAACATGCAATTTCCTCACTCTCAATTGCATATATTATTAAACTTATCCATACCCTATGGAGAGCATGATGACTTGCCTTTTGCCAACTGCCATTAACATGCAAGAACTAAAGCCCCCACCACTCCATGTGAATCCAAGTCGGCGTCTCTGCCCGAGACGACACTTTTGACATCTCTCTCCCCAGACAAGACACATGCAATTGAGATCAGATGTGTAATCATGGGAAGTATGATAAGCCTACCCTTCTAGTGGGAGTCTTTCTTTCCAGCTTTAAGGTGAACTTTTTTTTGCTTGACCTGGATATGATGTACTTTGTGATAATAAGACGTTTGGTGATGAATCAATCATCTTTAGGAAGCACCTTTTTGGGTTGCAAATCCTCCTACCTATGTTTTTCCCATCAGTAACAAATGGCACTATCCGACTCTTTTTTGTGTCATAATAGTACCCTCTCATCTAAAGTTCCATTAAGATTTCTGGCGAAACTGGACAACATCACGGCCTCGGCAGCTAATGGTAAACATTTAGGTTCCTAAAAAGACAGGATTATGGATGAACCAGGTATTGAATTAGCGAGCGAGCAAGCACGAGAGATTCAAGTCCCTGCAAGGTGGGCAAATCTTGTTGCTTTGTGATGATTTACCAGCAAATGATGCTGACTGGGACCCGTCTCGAGAGCCCCGAACAGATCCAAGAGAAGTTTGGCTGTCCTGTAAAATTAGATTTAAAAAAGGATGAAATCCGTAAAAAAATCCCCAATTTTAGGTCAAGTACCAAATCTGCTCCAAACTTTTTTTTGTGTTAAAAAAAAACCCCAAACTTTAGGTCTAGTCTCAAATCCGCCTCGAACTTTTTTTTTGTCTTAGAAAAAACCTCAAACTTTAAGTTCAATCCCAAATCTGCCTCGAATTTTGTTTTGTGTAAAAAAAATCACCAAAATTCAATTTATTTTAAAAGATATACACCCGTGATCCGGTCCCAACTTGACATGGTACTTCCATGTAGATAAAAAAATCCACATCAACAAAGTAATGAGGCAATAGGTACAGACCGACGTCGTATTTCCACTTCGATAACAAATCCAACACATTAAAATTGTTGAAATTCTCCAAAATAAAACCATTATAGGATATGAAAGTTAGGGACGATAACAAATCCATTCCCCAAAAAAAAATTTTAATCTAAAAAAAACCTAATTTTTAGGTTTAGTCTAAATTTGCTCCGAACTTTTCTTTATTTAAAAAAAAACCCATTACTTTGTTGATGTAGATTTGTTATTGACGTGGAAGTGTCATGTCAAGTTGGGATTGGATCATGGGGTATATTGTTGAAAATAAATTGAATTGTAGTGATTTTTTTTACATAAAATAAAATTCGGAGCAAATTTGGGACTGGACTTAAAGTTTAGGGTTTTTTCTAAGATCAAAAAAAAATTCAAGGTAGATTTAGGACTGAATCTAAATTTTGGAATTTTTTTTAAGATAAAAAAAATTCGAGACAGATTTGAAATTGGACTTAAAATTGAGGTTTTTTACGGAATTAGGCCTTTAAAAAACAGACAAGAAGAGCAAACCCGAATGAATTAGGAGCAACGGTGGCCATTGCATTAGGTTGTACTTGGAGGGAGGGGAGCGGAGGAGAGCGTCTTCATGATTCGAGAGACATGTTACCACGCACGTGCTCCACGTGTGGGCGCCCATCATTCGTGGATGTGGGGGCGTGCACGTGGTTGGGATCGGCCAGTCGGAACGATGGCTCATGACCTCTTCTTTGGAACCCACTAAACGACGTCGCATGGCTCTCTCTCTTGTACAAAAGTTGCCTCGATTGTAATGTTCTGTCTTATAATTTCGGACGCTGAGCAAAGAATTCATCGTTCGAATTCTCTACGTTATAATTTCCAATCCAAAAATTTAAATTTATAAATAAAGGGAGATCGTGTATTCATAAAGAGCATATAAGCCCTATAGTCAAATTCATAGTCAAGTGGTACGGAATATTTTACAAGACATATATATTCTATACGCAAGAATTAGTAGACTCCAAAAAAGTAATTTTCTCTCTATTTGATTTAGATTCGAAAACAGTATGTTTTCCAGATGATTTCGGCTTAACCTAGCAAGATATTTTGACATCAACTTGATTCGGTATCTACACAATTTTTTGAGCGACGTGTCATCAGTCGAAATATTACGTGCAAATAGCCCGCTAACACCGGCCAATTTAACGTCATAATTTGTGACAAGAACAGAAATCATAAATCGGGTTTATACTTTGATTTCTTCTTTGCAAGATACTAACTTTAGGCTTTCAAGTTTTTTTCTTCAAATTCAAGTAATCAAGCTCAAAAGCTGAAGACAGACCCAGCTCGAAGAAGCGAGACACTGTAGCGTAATTACTGAATACACAATCGGTCGCACTACCCGTCAAACTTCAAGAAGCTCCAAAGACCACAAAGTTCCATTCTTTTTCTACCTTGTGAAAGAAACGAGAAACGAAACTCACCGACAACACATTAACGCGGCCGAGTGAGGCTTCCCTCCTCCTTCAAATTTACCGCACGGGAACGAACTCGTCGCGAGCAGAGAACGAAGGAGACAAAGTTCTTGTAAGTTGCAACTGGGAAGCAGTGGTTGTGCGGGGTCGGTTCATAATTGCAGTCTTGTTTTTTTTGAACCGGAAGACGTACGACGAGCAGTGATTTTTCTGCCCTCTTCCGCGTTTCATTCACTTGTTTATTTTTGTGATGTTATGATGAGGACTGGCATGGTTTGTTGATGTCGGTTGGAGATTAGAATATAGGAGACTTCAGCTATTTAATGAACAGTGTCAGTGGAAGTTGTTGTTGTTCTTGTAGTCAAGGCTCCATTTGTTTTTCCTTTTTCCAAATCATCGTCTCCTACCTTTCACCTGCAATTCAGAGAGAGAGAGAGAGAGAGAGAGGTGGAAAGACAAGGAAAGCTCAACGCCCACCTTGAAAAGAAGGGGTCTTGGCTTGTGCCCATTTTTGCGTCGTGGAGAATTTTTCATCTTTGGGGGTCTTCTGGGATCTGAATCTGGGTCAACACGGCGGGTTGACTCGGGGATCGAAAGGGTTATCGCCCGTGTTGTTAGCGGTTGATTCGGCGTGAAGGAGGGAGGGACGGGGAGAGAGAGAGAGAGAGAGAGGGGGGGAGGGAGAGTGAGGGGGAGCAATGTCTTGGAAGAGCAGAGGAACAGAGTCTTCAAAGAGCTGGGTCTCTAAGAAATGGACTCTTTTGCTCTGTATCGGTTGCTTTTGTGGTGGGATGCTCTTCTCCGACAGGTAATTTTCTTTTCCTGGAAAATTCGTAATTGAAGTAATCGGTTTTGATGGGAAGCTTCTTATGTAACCTGCAGTTCTGAAGAAACTCTTCGGAGCTTCTAATTGTGGGTTGTGATTTCAATACGAAACTTGAAGAGCATTTTGGGGGTTGTTCAGTGCATGAGGAATAGATATGATGCTTGGAATTGTTACTGGGTCTTGAGTTCATCACCGTTATTTGATTTTCTTAATGCTTCCGGAATGGTGAATTATCATGCGGAAATTAGCTGCATTTTTTCTATCTCTTCTTCATCTTCACTTGTCCATTTTTTTTTTCCGATATCCTCAATACACGGTGAAATTAACAAAGCATATTCCCGATCTTGCAGTATCTTTTGCTCATGGATGCCCATTTGCATGATCTAGCTTTGCCGACTTATTGTTTCAATTGCTATAGCCTTACATTTTCCATCTGTATTCTTGCTATAAATATGTTAACTCGTTGCTTTATTGTGATATCTACTGAAGGATGGAGACAGAACCGGAAGCTAAAGATATTCTAAGAACAATGAATGAAGATGGAAATCTAAAGATTGTTTCCGAAGGCTGTACTCCAAAACTAGTGAGTTCCTCATCTCTCTTAAAGCTTGCAATCTTCGAAAGCTCTAGATCACGGCTTCTTCAATCCTGGAATAGCTGCTTATTGGTCGTGGTTCAAATCTAGTCAAAGAATTTACCAGTTGATCTGTATCCATTTTGTTTAGAAGGACGGAAAGCATGAATCGACGGACATTCTGGGCGAAGTATCAAGGACGCATCATGCTATCCAGTAAGCTATATTACCGGCGATCTTTATCTGGGTTTAGTAAAGCTATCTAATTCTTAACTTCTCCATTTCTTGTCGGATGCAGAACTCTCGATAAAACAATCTCAAACTTGGAAATGGAATTGGCAGCTGCAAGAGCTGCACAGGAATCAATACTTAATGGTTCTCCTATCTCGGATGACCTAAAAATCAGAGAACCAATTACGAAAAGAAAATATCTAATGGTTGTGGGCATTAATACTGCTTTTAGTAGCCGAAAGAGAAGAGACTCTGTTCGCAGTACCTGGATGCCTCAAGGTTTGTTCATTAGCTATCCGCAGTTTCATTAATCTATGCATTTGACATAAGATTATGCATTGACGATTTGTTACGTTTATATCGTCAGGTGACAAGAGGAAGAAGCTTGAAGAAGAGAAGGGCATCATAATGCGCTTTGTGATAGGACACAGGTGATTACCCGCAGTAGTAATCTGGTTTGGTGTTATTCTTCTGAAAATTTTTTATTCCTAGATATTCATCAACCATGGAATCTCTGCATTAAGAAGATAATCCAGTTTTTCTGTCATAGTAGTATCTTAAATGTCATGTAGGTGTAGATTACTAATACCCTCAATATCTTCTCTGAATTTTATGTAGGGGACATAATATAAACACATTTATTTTCCACGGATTACTTTGAAACAAATTGTCGCATCGTCACATGAGAGTTACTGGTATTCATCAGGCAATCATCACAATCATCACATGAAAGTTATAAGCGTTCATCAGTCAATTCTCAGGGAAAATCTTTCTGGTATAGAACAAGCAAATAACTATATCCGGCATTGTAGTGTGATTGCATCCTTAGAAGCAAAACCTATCGCATTAAGGAGATGGATGTCCATTGAAGGCAGATGTTTTAAGCATTTTTCCGGCAAAAGAAAAGATGAGAACTGTTAATTAACTGAAGTATACATCAATTATGTGAGCCAAAAGACAAAGATAATGTGCTGCCTGCTTGAATTCTTGAAATATTAAGCTAATAATCAATCTCTCTTAATAAACACTAATGTAAAATCCAAAGCACCCAGTTTTTCAAACTCTTTTTTTCCCCTCTCTAATGAGCAAACTAATTTTTTTGTTGCAAATTCTGTGATGTTTATTAATTTCCCAAATCATAAGAGAGTTTTGATGACAGTCATCTAATTCTTTTCGCTTTGCCTGGCCCTTCTGCTGCTAGTGCTACATCTGGCGGTATTCTCGATAGAGCGATTGAAGCGGAAGATAAAAGGCATGGTGACTTTTTGAGGCTGGTAATGTCGTTTGTTGGCACGTTTGTTTACTGTGTGATGCAAAAAATCTGATACTATCTGTCAACACATCATTATTCAAACATAAGACTCAACAACTTGTTTTTTCTTGCACTTGTTGATACTCTGGAAACAGGAACATGTCGAGGGTTACCTTGAACTGTCTGCCAAAACAAAGACATACTTTGCAACTGCAGTTGCATTGTGGGATGCAGATTTTTATGTCAAAGTGGATGATGATGTGCATGTAAATATAGGTAGAGATCAGATTCTTTATCAGTTTAATCATATCTTGGAGACTTTACTTTTTTTTTCTTGGAAGAAGGGTCGAAAGAGAAGAATACTAAATGTTAGGGTATGTTTGTTTTGCAGAAGATAAATGATTTGGAAAACATATTCCTTAATGATGGTGTCACTTACAAAAATTAGTCAACCAAAATATTTTTAATCATCAACAACAGTCTATGCCTAAATCATTTTCGTTGATAATGAAAAGCGATACAAGCGACCATTTTGAGGAAACTTGTTTTCAAATTCGTTGATTTTCCGCGAAACAAACGTACCTTAAATGAAAAAAAATTATGCTCAATGTCAGGCTTTCAATTCCTTCAGTCCTTTTAGGGATTTTATATTTCCATATATACTTCTGCGTACTACATGGAAGTTGCTGAAGAGAGTCGCTCCTTTCCTTCGAAGTGCTTTTGAGTTTGAAATTGTAAAATGCCCTGCTAAATATATACCACCAAGAAATAAACACAATGCTTTTGAAAGAGAAAAATTTTTCTGGTATATTGTTAGAATATGCTACTATTTAGAGATCAATTCTGTCATGGTATATAGTTATATTATCTAGGCACAGTTAAATTTCATTTGATTAAATTGTCACTCTGCAGCCACACTTGGAACAACTTTGGGGAGGCACAGATTGAAGTCTAGGGTGTATATTGGCTGCATGAAATCTGGTCCAGTCCTTGCTCAGAAGTAAGCAAAGTATCCTTTCATCACCCTGTTAAACATTTTATAAGTAAGAATTGCCATTTCACCCTGCATTTTGATGATTAGGGGTGTGAGGTACCACGAACCAGAGCATTGGAAATTTGGTGAAGAGGGAAACAGATACTTCCGTCATGCTACGGGCCAACTATATGCTATTTCAAAAGATCTCGCCACCTACATATCAATAAATCAGTATGCTGTTTCCCTTGCATTTGGGAGGATATTTCTTTTTCCCCAAGTTCATTAACGTTTTTTTTTTGTGCTAGCAAGTTCATTAACGTTAACTTGTTGCTTTTCTAATGGTAACACTCTAGGCATGTGTTGCACAAGTACGCTAATGAAGACGTGTCACTTGGATCGTGGTTTATCGGATTGGATGTGGAGCATATTGATGACCGCCGACTTTGTTGCGGTACTCCGCCTGGTAAATTCTTAAGCATTCATCTCTCGGACTCCTTTTACATATATGCTAGAGGAGTTATTGCTTGGCATTGATGAATAAATCTCATTCATGTAGTGTTGTCAAATTTTGCAAATCTTTTTAATTGTCGTCTTGTTGGAGCTGATAAAAGAAAACTAATGTCTTACCAGTGGTGTTTACTCGGTGACTTATGTCATATGAATTGATGCTAATAACACCTCAATGGTGTATGTATGCATGAATGACTTAAGAGTGGCATAGTTCCTGTACGGTGAAGGAAGAAACATGAGTTTGGTGCCACCTGTGACGTCTAGAATGTCAGATCATTTTGTGCAAAAGTATTTAAATTCTCAAATGATGTCACAGATTGCGAATGGAAGGCTCAGGCCGGTAACATCTGCGTCGCATCGTTCGATTGGAGCTGCAGCGGCGTATGCAAGTCAGTCGAGAGAATGAAAGAAGTTCATCGGAGATGTGGGGAAGGCGAGAATGTGTTGTGGAGCACAGCTTTCTAAAGACACGATGACGTTCCCTCCCATCTCAGGAGGAAAACTGGAGCTTTTTCCATGAAATTTGGATATAGAGGAATTGATAAGTATGTAAAATGTAAATGCAAAAACTGGGAGTCAGCATATTATTTTCCACGTTGACGAGGATGAAGGCGGATCTTCGGCCGGGGATATCGGTCTTGCCATGGGGGATTCTGCTCCAACGGAAGGGAGGGAGACCCATTAATGAATGCGAGGCAAGACACTGTAACCAAGCATTCTTTCATTGAACTGTGGTGTTGTTTTGCATGTGATGCCATGGGTAATGAAACTCCACAATAAGTGAAAATGTTAGGCTTAGCACTTTTCTGCTCTGTAAATGTAAATTTGGATGTCTGAGTTTTGAGAATTCTGGTGGAGTTTTATCTCCTAGATTTGAGAATTGTATCTTTCATCTTGTCTCTCTAATTTCTGCTTTTCTTCAGCTAAGGCTCAGCTCTGATTCATCCCCATTTTACTCTCTCTGTGCTTGGGACTCCGGTTGCCTTTTTTGACACACTTTACTTAGGTTCTTGTGAAGGTTAAGATGAATTCAAGTTCCCACGTTTGTGGGGTTTCTGTGAGCAATGGTGGGCCTAAGCTTATCATCTGTTCCCGGGTATTACGTTACATTGCATGGAACCAGAAATGGTGGAGAAGCCTAAAAAATGAACCTTGGCAAAGGCAAATAGGTTCACTTGGGCCTAATGCATCCTGCATTGGTCCTTCACAGCCCTTTGGTCCGTCGCAGGTCGAGCTAGAGCTTTTCCGCACGCCGAGTCAGAAAAATACCACTTTCGATCCGAGAAGCACTTGCCCTTCTATCCAATTTGTTAATCTTTAGGTCGGCCCCGTCTTTGCCGCCCGAGGTTGGAGCATGATGATTCATAATCATATGCATTCGCAAAGCATGAGAAACATTGGTGCGCCATATGATTTTGAGTTTTACGCTCAAGCTCGAGCTTTTAGCATGAAATTGGGTCGTATGGTCAAGATCGAAGTATGTACGAAATCTGTTCATAAGGCTCGTTCTGAGCCCGGCCCTGCGTAAACCAGATCACCTTTGGGCCGCTCGGGCTATTCGAAGTTATGTGTGAATCACTCCTCCGTGCTTTTACAATTTCTTTGGAGGAGGAGGACGATCGCGGTGCGTGCGAACTGTGTCGTGGACTATTGGGATCTCCTTGCTTGAATTGGTGGCGACGTCTTCTTCTTCAAGTTCAAGCATTTGTTGCTTCTCTGTTTCGCACGTCATCTCAGGTGATACAGTTTCTCTTTGTCGATCTGCTCTCTGTGTGTGCTTCTTTTCTCCCACCCACTCCTGCGAAACCCTAATTTTGTTGCTTTTTCCCCCCCTTTGTTTGTGGACGTTGAATTCTGGAGAATCCGGCCATGTCCAAGAGCTCCTTCAAGCTGGAACACCCTCTCGGTTCTCTCTCTCTCTCTCTCTCTCTCTCTGCTTGTGTTGATGCGATAGTCGAATGCGTTGATATCATGAGGAATTGAGCCTTTTTGAGTTTGCTTGGCACATTAGGCTTTCTTTTTTCTTTCCTTTTTTGGGCATGAAATCGTCCTTGTGTGAATGACTGAGAGGGCTGATAGAGAGTTGAGCTTTCGTGGGTTACTGGGTTTTGCTTATTTGACTCCTTTGTGTCAATTCTTTACTTTCTTTGTTGTTCCTGCGCGCCTGATCCTTTGGGATTCCTTGTTCCTTAAGCTGGTGGTAAGACTGATACTTAGGGTTAATGAATTATGGAGGCCTTTATCTGTGATTACTTGTTAGGATCTGGGTATAGCAGAGTGAAGTAGTCTTGAATGATTGCTTGTTTCTTTCTGTGGTAATGGATCAGGAGCTTTTGGGTATTCTGAGCGCCATAATTGTTTGTTGGGTCTGTCAAAGTGATGGATTTCTTAATGATGGAATCCTTGCTCGTTGTGTACAAAATCGTTTTACGAATTTATATTGTAGGCTTTTAGTGAATATTGAATATGGCCCATTTGTTTAAATACCCATTTCCAGTTTGCTATAGTATTAATTTGCAATTCGAAATTATGAATCAGTCTTAGTATAGCTAGCATTGCTCTCGATTTTCGGTTTAGTTAAAACTAATGGACTCTACTCTATCTCTGAGTAGTGATTGTTCCCTCCATTAGTTTCAGTCTTGCCCTGGAAATTCATTTTGGTGGCACTCGACCATCATGCTTCTTTACCTTTTGTTTGCCTTCACTTGTGTGGAATGTTGTTTACTCATATACCTTAGCGAGTAAAATTCTGTTGGCACGGTTATTTACGTTTTAATTACATTTATTCAATCTTTGTCACCAGAGAGGAGGCAGGCAGAAGCTGCCCGAATCAGGGAGAAATATCCTGATAGAATACCAGTATGGAATTTTCATCTTGTTATTATAAGGAATCAATGTGTATGTTTTTTTGCTTTACTGTGACTGTGGGCATGGTTTCAAAAGTTCTGTTCAAAACCTACAGGTCATTGTGGAGAAAGCTGAAAGGAGTGACATTCCAGATATCGACAAAAAGAAGTGAATTCCCTTTTTTCTTCTATTAGTTGACTCTGTATCTTAGCCCATGTACTTCCTCTCAGTAGGGTAATTTCCGCCCTCCAAAATGGTTATATCCGTTCATCCATGTCATGGATGCAGGTATCTGGTTCCTGCTGATCTTACTGTTGGGCAATTTGTTTACGTTGTCCGAAAGAGGATCAAGCTTAGTGCTGAAAAGGCCATATTCATCTTTGTCAAGAATATCTTGCCACCTACTGGTGAGGAAGCTTAGCTTACGATTACACTGCTTTAATGTTCTTGGCCAGCATGTATCTGTTAGTTTGCTTGAATTATTCGCTTTTCTATCGTTGTAGCTGCTATGATGTCCGCAATCTACGAGGAGCACAAAGATGAAGATGGTTTCCTTTACATGACTTATAGCGGCGAGAACACATTTGGATTTTGAGTCGAATTCAAGTGCAACTTTATCCTTTATCCTATGTATATAAGATCCTAAGAGCACAAAACTTTAGTAAATGTAAATTGTTTGGTTACCCAGTCCTTAAGTGAGTTGCACCCTCACAAACGCATCCGTTTCTTTATTGATAAAAAAAATTTGGCGGTATCTTCTGAACTGGAAGCAGTAGAATTTATGGCTTTTCATGAGTGGATTCTCTCTCTCTCTCTCTCTCTCTCTCTCTCTCTCTCTCTCTCTCTCTCTCTCTCATAGTTATATGTATCATCTGGGCTGGCCTAGCACATGCAATGCGCAGCATTCATCTACTCGCACATCTCTTGGTGCCTCCGAGGAGGTTCCGTCGCCCCATGAATCTGCCATCAAACTTGTAGGTTGCAATTTCCTTCGTGAACATCAAGATGCAAATCGCTGAAACAGAACACGTTGGACTTGCCGTGGACTGGAAGTCACTCTAATTGAAATAAAATTGCTTGCCAAATATATAATCTGGGAAGTTAACTAATGCAAATGTATCCTTTAGTGGCAAAGAATCCAAATCTTGTTTCATGTTTGAACATATTACAAATGGACATTGGTTTCAAAATAGAACGGTTATGGCCAAATTGGGAAAAGCTTGATCTTCCTCGCGGAACTTCCTCTCGAGCATTTCACCCATATGGCCACACTCCTGTATTAAGGTTCCACGAAACACCTCTCTTGACTCATTGAAATTACACCTAACTTCTACAAATGCAAAGCAGGCTCCTAAGCATATTAAAGTCATACATTAGATAGAATCATAGATATCATATGGTGTTTAGAAAGTATAAGACATACAAATTATGATAATACAATCCAAAAGGAAGCAGTTTTTCTAGATATAGCCAATGTCAGTTTCATCAGGTCGATGTACCATTGATATGATACGTAATAAGCCCCTCCAAGGACTAATTTAGACGATCTTATAATAAAGGTGAATTGTCGAACAGCTTCCAGTCATTCCCGCATGTGCCTCACCAAATTCTGGATACGTTGTCCCAGGAGCTGGGGACGGGAGTTCTTTCCTTGTCCACGGCAGTAGTGACTGGAAGTGACCGTGCTATCTGTTGCTGCATCTCGAGCCCTCCCATGGTAACATCTGCCCCGGCAGAAGCATAACTTGATGATTGCCTGTTGCAGAATTCACTGTTACTGTCGTATCCTGAAGAAAACTGATTTGCCGGAGGGATGACATTCAGAAGCTTCGACACATCTGCTTGCACGAAAGGAATCGGGTCCAATTTCTCCTTTTCCAGCCGTGCCTCTTGTACCAAAGGCAAACAAATATTGCTGTGAGTGTCGATGTCAGGGATGGAATGCCCCAGATTCCCTTTAAAGAAAACATTTGAAAAGGAACATAGAAGGTTAGAGTCATGTAAGAAACAGTGCTGATGAAAAAACAGTTCAAATGTTCATTAATTAAGTGTCTTTGCAATTGCTAAAGTATGTTTAACCTCTCTGAAGGGTTGAAGGGAAGACATTAAGTAGCTTCGACAAATCTTCTTCTTGTTGCATGGTGAAGTTCTGCTGTGCAGTATCTTTTTCGACTTTAATTCCTTCTTGTACCAAAGGCAAACCAAAACCTTTGCGAGTGTCAATCTCAGAATGGGAATGGCCCAAGTTCACTGTAAAGTGGAAGAGATAAAGTCACTCTGTTTGGCCTATAAATGAGAGTGCAAGAACAGATGGGGTAAGAAGGAGCAAGAGCATTTGATGAGCATTTGCCAGGATAGCATTAACCGTCATAGCATTCATATAGGCTACATAGCTCTATGGATGTAACGACTGTGAAATCAGAGCAATCACAAGCAACAACAGTCTTCAAAGCAAATGGTCTAATTAAATCAGCTAATATCCATGTTGCGAGCCGCAGTAGTAGCGAATCAATAGAAGGTAACATAGAGTCCCACCACTTGAGTTGAAGCTTTGAAGGCGAAAATCAGGAAAAAGAAGAAAATACGTGCAAGGCGTGCAGTATGCAGATATAGACTAAATCATGAGATGCCAGAAGCAGCGGCAGACTACTAAAAGCTGCAGCGTTTTCTCTGTAATGATACCTATTATCTTCTTAACTGATCATCCTCGAGCAATCGTTGCAACCAGTCAGAACTAATGTTTCTTAATATAAATAAAAGAACAAACCTGCAGAGGGATTCACAGAGCTTCTAGCATCCCAATCACAACCAGACCTCAAGGAGACGTCGAGCTTCTCCACTTGCAAGTTCATGAAGCTTTGCATCTGCGGGTTTTCATTAGATAGTGCTTGAGCCTCCTCCAGCAAATCCTCCAATAACTCACTACCACTGCAATACATACCCCGTCTCCGCTTCATGTCTGTCTCTGGTTTTCCGATTTGGGATAGGTACAATTGGCTTGAAGGGAGCTCTGATTTTGAGGGAAAAACTGAAACGGATGACAAGTATCTGTCTGAATCCAGCTGAGTCTGCACATACTGAGGTGAACTCACATTGCAACTCAGTGGACTAAATTGAAAAGAACCCGTGTTAGGCAACTGGCTTGGTGTAGGAACAGATGGAAGCGGAGAAGAACCGAGTGAGATGGGCAGAAAAGAGAGTGAAAACCCAGTGGTGTCCTCGTAACTGCCCTTCAGCCTGAGAGGAGAGGATGCAAGAACTGGAGTGGTGTGAGTGTTGGTGAATGTGCTTGCGGGACAAGCAAGAGAGGGAGAAGGGTAAAAGAGACAATTGTTGAAGCTTGATTTGAGGTAATGCTGAGAATACTGTGGTGAGAGAAGCATGCTGCTAGGAGTTTGTGGCAGGTCTTGGCTGATGGGTCTTGGTTGGGCTAGGATTTGGATTGGGGTCTGTGTGTGAAGCTGGGTGGTTGTATTCGATCGGGGTTCTGTCGCCCGCGGTACTGATGAAGACGGCAGATGTTCAGGAGTGATGTCGTGAGGATATAGAGGAAGGCCTTGGCGGATCCGGTGCTTGATTCTCGTATTCCAATAGTTCTTTATTTCGTTATCTGTTCGCCCAGGTAGCTAGACAGTGTTGAGGAAGATTTACAAATTGTTTGAGAAAATACAAATGTGCAGATTGTCTAGGAGCATAAAACCAGGCATAAAATGGCAACCACATTAAATTGAACACAAAATAAGAGCTAAAACTCGGGTCTTGGAGAAAAGCAGACCAACTGTACATGGTAATTGGTATTTGGCTCTCGTCTTGAGAAAGACTGAGAAATTTTTTTTCAGCCCCGGAGGAACATGTGGTGAACAGATTTTACTCAAAACAACCAAAATCATAACACAAAATGGCTCCAATGCTGAAGTACCACCACTACCCAAGTTTTCTGGGAAAGGAATAAAACTTGATCCGCCATCAAGCATCACACAATATATCATTACGAAATCAACTTCAGAGCACGAAAAGATGAAAAAGCACGGCGTCTATCCGATCAAACTCTCCGAGAATAGCTAATACTAGAGAACTTTACTAAACAACCACATGCCTTAAACCTTTAAATGAGGCTCAATCAGTGCAACAACAACCATCCATACAAAGCCACAAAAATACTCAATTTATAACCAAATCAAGCAGAGGAAAACAGAAGAAGAGCCAGAAAAGGCAGAGTAAAACAACACAGGAGACATTACCTGGGTAGCCATGCGGGCCCATTTGTTGCCAAGCTGAGAATGCAGCTTGAGGATCAACCTCTCTTCCTCAGGAGTGAAAGCGCCTTTCTTCAAGTTGGGTCGGAGGTGGTTGGTCCACCGGAGCCGGCAACTCTTGCCGCACCGCGCCAGACCCGTGTTCTTCTGCACTGAATTCCAATTCCCCTCTCCATTCTTCTTCACATGCTCAATCAACACCGCATCTTCTGCCGCCGTCCATGGCCCCTTCTTCAGCACCAGCCCACCTCCAACGCTGCCAGCACTGCTAGAATCACTACTACTCGACCCGATTGATTGTCCATCGCTCTGTTGCTGCTGCTGTTCTTGTTGTTGTGTTGATGCAATTCCTTTTGTCATGAAACCCAACTGGAGGGTGGGATCAGTTGCACATGCACAGAAAGCTCATTCCTATGTGTTTGTGTTTGTTAAAATGGAATTGTCCTGGGTTTTCTTTTCCGAGCTTTGATGGGTTACCTTGGGAATTTTTTGGTTCTGGGTTTGTGAACTTTTCTGTGATTTCAAGGGAAGATGTTCTTGTTCATCCTCTGTGGAATGTAGGTGGTTGTAGTGGTGTAGGGGTTAGTGAGATTATGTCCTTTCTTTTGTCTCTTCTTTTTGCATGAAATGGGAGTTAAAACAGGACAAAAGAAAGTTGCCCAGAATTTCAGGTTAGATGCTTATGGGTGCCAGTAATGGTTGGAAACTTTTTCTTGTCAAGCCCATCAAAAGAACATTCAGAATGGAAAAACTCACTATCCGCAAAAAAAGGAAAAAAGAAAAAGGAAGGCGCAGAATTTGATGGTTGGGGTCAATAAGGGGACATTTTTGCTGATGGGAACAATCAACAGAAAATCAAGAAATATTTTTTTGTCTGAGCAGCTCTCATGCTAAAATGAACAGAAAATCTCACCAGGACCATCCCAAAAGAAGGCCCCTAATTTGAGATTGCTGCTCCCGAGACAAAGTCAATGTTTTCTTGTGAGCGGAGAACAATCAACTGGAAATTCGATTGGGAAACCGTATGCTGCTGATTCTAGGACCTTGGTTTTCACAGAGAAGGAGAAAGAGAGGGAGAGAGAGAGCCATAGGAGAGGAGCTAGCATGTCGTTTCAGGTTTCATTGGCTGACCCATTTATTAGGCACATGATTCTTTTTTTTGTAAACAGGGCTTCTTTTTTTCGCCCCGTAGTTTTCCTCCTCTGATTGATATGTGCAGATACAGGCTTGATTCTTTGATTTGTACACTGTAAAGGGAGAGCACAGGACAGGCTGGCGATTGTGAGGTGGTGCACCAGCTACTGTGGCGTGGTTGTCCCCTTTAAGGATGCAAAGCATGCGTGTAGCAAGGCACGGGATCTTTTCTGACAGTCTGCAAGTGAACAACCAATAATTAGTAGCGCTGGTAACAATGTGGCAGATGCTCGCACATGTGGAGACAAGGTCTAAATTAGGAGCACTTCCCTCTTGAGGGATCATCTTAATTTATCATATCCAATCTAGTTTCACTGCAATTTTTGCATGCAGTGTCCTCCCACATACATAACTATTCATGGAAAATTTCCATATGCGGCTCTTTTGATGAAATTTAGATAAATTTTGGGCACAACGCTCTTCCCAATGGGGAATTGCCTCCTCGATGATTCCAGAATATCCCTTTATATTGGGGTGGTTCTTTATTGGCTGTACCAAGCTTGTGTTTTCTGATGAAGATTAGCAAAAGAAGAGTCCCATGTTTTCTCGTGAAAAGGCTTCTTTGGGGGCCGAAGGAAGTAAAAATTAGTAAAGTTGGAACCGTCGATTTTGGTAAAATTCCATGTAGAAGCTAGTGGAACCCATCTAATTTGATGGTACAAATGAACTCTAGGTGCATGCACAAACACTTACGAGGGCTCCACATGGCTGGTGTTGATCCGTTGTAGATCGAGTGATCTCAACCGTAAAAATTTATGTATTCTGTACGGGGCCTATCATTTAGCTCACATTGACTCGTCTGCACTTCTTTACCATTGACCAAGTTATATTTTTAATTGTCAGAATTTAGGTAGGATACACCATAAATTGCTTAGAGTATCTTTGACAGTTCAGTTTTACAGCTTCAATGTTTCCTTCATGTTTTTGCATTGATTCTCACTCATGGTCATTGCAAGAGTTTCACCTCTTGGGTTTGCCAACTAAGCCTGGCTGTACTTCCAAATTAAGGAACTAATAGAGGCGTTTGGTCTCCTAATTTTGGCCAGATAAAAAAAATGAAGGTTTTTGATTTTGCCAATCACGAGCTCCGATGTAAATTTGACCTCAACAAGATCCTCATATTATATGCCTTTTGTGTTGTCTTGGTGCTAGGAGATTCTGGCACTTACCATAAGATATAACAGGCAAGAAACAGAGTTATATAGCTCATCTTCTAGCTGTGAACTTCGATTTCATCCACATATTTTACGTTTCACTCCCTTTAATATAAACGCAACAAAAAAAAAGAAGAAAAAACAAAACAAATCAAGCAATATATGCTAAATTATCTTCCCCCAAATCGTTATGTCTTCATTTTTTCAATGATCTTTTGCCTTTTTTCACATGCTTTTAAAACCAATTTGGTATCTACAAAGAAACCAGATTTATGGTAGGGTCAAGACCCTCAAATACGGGAAAAATTATCCAAAAAGTCATAAACATATTGAATTTTACCAATTTACTCCTAAGCATTTTAAATGCGCCAATTGAGGCCCAAATATTTTCACGTTTTGCCAATGGAGTCCATCAGAAATTGCTGACGTGGATGCTAGCCGTCCTACGTGGCACGGCAAGCGATGATGTGGACAATTTTTAATCATATTGTAATTTTCTTTGAATTTTTTTTCCTTTATTTTATTTTTTTTTCTTTTTTCTTTTTTTCTTTTTCCCTCTGCCGACCTCGGGCGAGGGCCGCCCTCACCAGCCTCGCCTAGGATGGCGAGGGCAAACCCTCACCTGATTAGGCGAAGGGCTTCCCTCACCTGAGATCGGTGAAGGGAAAAAGAGAAAAGAAAAAAGGAGATAAGAGAAGAGAAAAGGCAAAAAAAAAGAAAAATTAATAAAAAAATAAATATTATTAAAAATTATCTACAGCATCGCCAGCTGTGCCTCGTAGGACTGCTGGTGTCCATGCCAATAATTTTCAGCTAAAATTAGCTGAATAAACTCAATTGACAAAAGTGTAATAGCTTCGTAACTTTTCAGATAATTTTCCTCTCCCATAAGCTTTTACACGAATAAAGAAAAATGAGCAATGAGTATCCACTTATCTTGATTTTCTCCAGGATCCGATCTTGATTTGGTGGGGACAAAAATAAAAAACAAAGTTCAAGAAAAGGCCTGGAATCAGCTTTTTAATCACATGTTTACATACGCTTATTGTAATAAGGACATCATTGACCACAATTGAAGTACATCGAGCCAAAAGCATGCTGTCAACGAGCAGTCGATACTTTTCAGGAGATGGAACTGAAGAATATTTAAGACGAAAGTAGCTTATTCAAGTTTGTAATATTTGACGGTCCGGAGTTGTCTTATCCCGTCAGGTTGCATTTGCTCGTATGAATTTCAAAGCAAAATAAGATTAAATAGGATAGAATATGAAATTCATTGATTCTCCTATATTCTATCTACTGTTTGGTGAATCGCAATAATAAAGCTGGATTTTTTCATATCATATCGTGTCTATTATTTGGTATTTACTACATATCAATGTAGATGAACCTGAAAATGTGCAAACGGGGATTGTAAAAATCTCTTACATAAGAGAGAGAAAATGTGATCATTTACTTCTGTGATTACGAAAAATATAGTGCTTTAATTCTCTCGCTATTTTCGCGAAACTTCAACAGGAACCGCGAATCTATGAAAGAGAAGGAGTTTCGACTCTCTTGCTGCTTTCAGGGACTTTTGACGCGAACTAAAGAGCTACGAAGAGAAGAAGCTTCAACTCTCTCACCCTTTTCGTGAAACTTTGACGTGAACTAAAAAATTACGGAAGAGTCTCGAAGCTTTGACATGAACCATGTAGAGGACAAGAAGACGGATAAGCTATATTTTTTTAGAAATTGCATTGCCCCTCATTCTTCGAGAATTGGGAAAATCCTTTTTAAGTTTGAATTTATTCATTTAAAATCGGAATTTTTTTACTTCATTGTAATTTTCTTTTTTTTTCATCTTTGTTTTAATTTTTTTTATTCCATTCCACCATTCCTTAATAAAATTTTTATCAAATAATAAATTATGTTATTATACCTAAAATATGTAATAATATAGATACTATATATATATACATAATATATCTTGTAGAGTAAAAAAATTCAAATATAAATAAAAACGAAAATTATTGTTTTTTTGTTATTTTAAATTTTATTTTTAATATATAATTCATATATTATTTATATTTAATTATTAGTTTAATTTTATTATTTAAAAAGTTTGTTATTCGAGAAAAATAACTTTTATACCATGAATATAAAAAATTATATTCACTTTTATCCCACCTCCCTATGGGATGTATCCGACTTTATCGTGTCTTAAACAAGAACCAAACACTGAACATGATAAATTTTATCATGTCGTGACTTTTATTTTGGCTATCAAATGTAGCCTCACAGATTTCTTCTTTGATCAAATTAAACCAAGCGTGAAGATCCTTGGATCCTTGATGTTTGGTTAAGGGTTTACTAGGGAGCCTAAGCTCCTACGAGAGCCTTTGTGGCCTGTCCCAATCCTATTAGGCGAGCTCCACGAATATGTTCTTTATTTTAATGTATGGATACCCGCATGCCTCACACTCCACACTTTCTTCCGTATCTTTTTCTTTCCTGGAGAGTGGGAATACTCTCTGAAAATGTTACACGCTGGTGATCTCGAGATCCGAACGAGAATCGAGATGGAGCCTTTTAAGGACCTACTCAGATCCTAAAAGGCACGCCTCTTGATCGGCCTCTGTCAAGACTAGATTGATTCCCGGAGCCACTTTTTGTTTGTTTCTTTTTGTGTCCATTAATTCCAAGATCTGTGGTTGGTAGTTATTTTTTTTTTTTTTTGGTCAGTTTGTGGTTGGTAGTTGAATGGCCTCCGATGTAGAAGCGTGTGCACGGCAATGTTTACAGTAAAGTCAGAGCCAACCAACACGGACCGTCCTCGGCCTTTGGTAGACTTTCGACAGATGAATCAAACGAGAAGAAAGAGAAGAAAAGAACAGCATTAAAATCGTGCACCAGGACGTCTTCTTCTTTGCCTCTACTTATACCAACTCCAGCGAGCACAAATGCTGCAGAGGCCTTTCTGGGATCTCACGATCACATATCTCCCATCTCCAAGTCCCACGATGGCTCGGTTCTCCAACATCCTCGGCTGTTTCTCGGAATCGCCCGAGCCGAGAAGACATGTGTGCAATGGAGACGTTTGTGTCCTGACAGATGGGAAGAGCTCGAAGAAGGAGAAGAGGCAAGGCCTCGGGATTTCGATTTCGTTCGCCCGCCTCTCGATGAGGAAGAATCAAATCCAGAAGTTGTTGAGGTGATGAGCTGAGGATCGGTGCTCTCTATGTATCATAATGTTTTTTGTTTTTCCGTGTGAAATCAATGTCATGTAAGATTTGCAAAGATCTGTTGTGTTCAGTGAAATTGAAAAACAAAAGTAGAGATAGGAAGAGGCAAATCTCTAGTTAAGTTCATTGGGTCCTGAAAAATCCCTGTTATTGAGGATGAGAAGTGTGTCTGTGATCCACTTTTTCTTCTCCTCGCGTCTGGTCAAATTGAGGTTCTTCATTTCTATTGGCAATTCAGCTTTCCCAGCTTTTGGGACTTACACTTTGGAAAATTGATGGACTTAAAGAGAGGATTCCGATCGTATGGGAAGAGTCGAAATTTTCGGACTCGAGATTCGTCAAGATAGCCTACTCTTGAATTTTAGGTCTTTCTTTTCTGCAAATGCATTGCTATATTTGCTGCCTTACAAGCAAAAGCAATTGGTCAGGCTGCAGAAATCGAGAGTTTTGCAACTGATCGAGAGAATCAAAAGAAGTCGAATACAATCAGTTCTATTGAATTTCCATTTATGCCAAACTGCTTGAATTTCCATTTATGCGACGTTACCATGAAACTGCGCTAATCACCTATTGTCCAAGACAGCCTTCTTTCAGACGAATAATCGGCAGAGTTTTTAAAATCTCCAAAAAGAACAAATCCTCAGCAAACCACATAAAGCAAGCAACGGCACCATTTCATTAGTATCTCAAATGATGAACTGACAACGGAAAGCAATGCCAATCGCTGTGTCAATGATTGAGAAATAGCCGGTCGCTCGCTCATAACGTAAGAAGCAGAAACAAGCATTTAAAAGATCTGAAGATGCACTCGAAGTGATAGGGACTCTCCTGTGAAAGCCTAGTTTCAGTGCTGTTGAGATGTAAGCAGCAGAAGATAAATGAAGGGCAAAACAAGGATTGGAGTTAAAGAGAGGCACTGACGAACTGCTACATCTGAAACTATCACCGCCCTGCAAAAATGTACCGTCCATCTCTACATTTTCTTTGCGAGTTAAAGGCGCAAATACAGATTCCATGCACAACACCTTCTCCAAGACTATCCTAACTTCGTATCTCCATAAACAGTAACTTAGATATATGCCGCCATAAGTTAGTCGTCATCGTCAGGGAAAAAATAAGACAGAATGCTCCGCTACCTTTACACAGACCACAGCAACGATCCCGTCGCAACCTCTCGGCACGACAGTTGTTGGGAGTTCTCCGACTTTGAAGCCAATGCTCGTCCTCAATCAGACCAAAACCATCTCAATTCAACAGGGACTTTGCGACATTTGGTCTTCTGGACTATCTGGGCATGTTAACAAAGTGGCATTCCAAGGGTTCCCGTCGACCAAGAGCATATTTTCACTTTCACATTCCCAAAGACAGAAGCCATGAATTCCTGTTCCTTCCTCCGTCATCCATATCGACAGTAAGCCATCAGCCTCAAAGTTGCAAGGCCAAATCTGGCTGCTGTGAATCAACCAGAACACCAGAAGACTGCGGCGCAGGGGAACCTGGTGACTGGAAACCAACGTTCAGATCTGGCGGACGCATTTCCTGCTTCTGCCTCTGCTGTGCATGCGGACTAACACCTCTCCAAGGAGACTGTGCTTGAGACCTAGGCAAGTCAGCCGCTATGAATTGAGGGAAAACCACTGGCCTATTTTGGTATGGGGCTTCGGTGCCCAAGTGAATGGGAGGACGTCCAAATGTCTGGACTGGAAAACTGTTCTTCGCGGGTTGAAATTGCATCATCCCAGAAGCTGATTCACCACGAACTCGAGCCACATGCAAAAGATATTCATGAGATAAATTGTGTGGAAAAGCTGGAGGTACTTGACTTCTCTGGTTGCAGGGGTTTTCTATAACCTGTTTTGGCCCTCCAGCACCAACGGACATCCAGACCCTAGCAGCAGTTGCTGCGGCATTGCTTTCATCTTCTCTTCTTATGGAAGAAGAAGGCGTCGTTACTGATGAAGCATCAGTTGCAGCATGATTAGAAGAGTTATGTTGCTTTTGAGCCTTTTCGGCCATCATTCTCATCAACTGAACAGGGTCGCTGAGACCCTGGTCCTGTCCATGGGGAAATGATATCATTCTAGGCATTTGATTAGGAATACCAACAGAAGACGTAGGAGTGATTCTGCTATTCTCAAAACTATTACTTGCAATTGTCCCATTGGGCAAACCCCTAGTAACCACTCCATTAGCATCTGGCTGTTTAGATGGCATACACTGCAGCGGACTTGTGTTTTTCAAAACTTGCTCCCTAGCTGCGGAAGAAGCTGCCCCTGAGATCCCTGAATTTTGATGAACTAAATTTCGTGAAACAGAGTCTCGAGACCTGGAAGCCCCTGCTTCTGAATTCTTGGAAAATTTCTTCTCTGCAACATGCTCAGCATTGTGGTGATCTCCTGAAGGCAAAGAGTTTAATTCAAACTGTTCTGTAACTTTTATCTTAGGCGCGCTCAAATTTTTCTGAAATGGGCTCTGCATTTGAAAATTGGCATTGTTTGTAGTACTGGATCTTCTTGCAACAAGAAAAGGCAGCTTCCCTTCCGAGGCAAGCTGACTGACTGAATGCTCCATGGCAGGTTCTTGGATTTTAGAGATTATTATTTCATTCATTTTCAATTCGTCTCGGTTATGCAATCTTGTTCCTAGAGGAAAATCTTTCATCATTCGGTTCTCAACTAGTAGAACTGGGGTAGGATGGGGCTCATACTCTCCAACCCATCCTCGGCCAAATTTACATCCAGCTGGCAAAGCTCGCTCAATCCTCTGGGAGGCAAGTCTCCAAGCAGCAGGACCAAGAGTTGCAGCAAAACGAGCCAGGCTTCTGGCATAAGAATACTCCACAGGAAGCCCCACCTGATTCAAAACAGAAAAGTCATACATCTACATGAGCCAAACTCCAGAAAAGGCTTAGAGAGTCATGGTTACATACAGCAACCAACTGCCTAGCTTCACCCTCAAATGTACTGAATATGGTGTCTGGTTGAACCACAGGTTCTTCTGTTATGTTATAAGTTGCACGACGATTCTCATCATGCAAATACGGCTTCCGTGCAAATTTCAATGGAAGACCTTTACCTGAAATTGCCAAAACAGTATTCTCCCAATCAATTAGAAGATTTCATTGAAATTCAACAGTTAAAAAGGAACTTGCTACTCTCCAGCAAAGTATATGATAACTTTTCAAGTCACATGTCTCCCAAAGAATAGTCAGATCATCGGAACCCAACAATGAGTTGAACCTTCTCTTGAACCTTCTCTTCCCACATTAATGCATACTAATTATCAAAAAATACATGATTTAAACTCCTACCAATGCTAGTTGCCAATGAAAGCACATTTTTATCATACCTAACGATAGGTCTTCTGCTTTCTCTATGTTATTCTCCACCTGCATAGCATTACCCTCCACGAGACTGTCGAAATTGCTCAGCCTATCATAACCAGAAGCTTGGTTTGCGGTGGCACTATTTAGGACATCTGGGACGTCTGCACAAGTGATGCCGGCAGAATCAGATTCCTGTACAGGTTGGGAGAAGTGCTTTTTCATTTGTTTCTTTGCCAAAAAATTGGACTTCGTTCTCTGGTCAGATTTAAGTTCCTTTTCTGACTGTTCCAAGTCAATCTTTACTTTGTCTTTCTCAGAGCGTTCAAAGTCAATCCTCAACTTCAAAAATTTCTTCCTCCCCAACTCTTGAATACAACGAGCCTTTTAAAAGAAACAGAAAGACAACTTTAGGACATTCTAGAGTTCAAACTAAACTTAAAATCCAAGATTAAAAAAAAAAATTTAAAAAGGGGAAGGGATGAAGACAGAATTTATACCTGTTTGTGGTATACAGTATCTGGCGCATTATATTGCATAGCATTAGAGCAAATAAGGAAGACATCACTCTGCATTGAACAAAGACCACAGGATCAGAGATTATGAAAATAAAGTTGCAGATTTCAAAGCATGAATAACGGAAAAATACAAAGCACAATCACAATCTTTCACAGCTGGAAGGACCACCAAAAGGAATAATCTAATCCAACCAATCAAAAACCCATCAAAATTTAGAAATAAGGCAGTGAATCACATTTTTAACTTGCACCTTCCCCTATGGAGATGATAGGAATGGTAAGAAACAAATAGTAAGTGGCTATGTCATTTATCGAAAGTCATCAGATGAAAACCAAGAATATTTTTTAAGCTTGTATATTTCACACCCATGATGATTAAATATGCCAAGAAAGAGATATTGGCCGATGCACAAGAACACAGAAACCGAATCAAAACCTTCCAATTAGGACTCCTATGAATACGAACTCTAAATAAAGGAGCTGAACTACACAAGCTAACCGGGGAATGAACAACTTAATTTAGAATGTTCTGGCATCCTTTCAGACTTTATTAAACACAGTAACAATATCCAGCAGTCTTATAATTAGAATTTGACAATCAAAATGCTATGTGGTAATTAACTATAGGAGCACAATCTCATTCGAGAAAATCTACTTGCATTCCACTTTGTGCCTTCATGCAGGAATACAGTTTCTCAATGATAAAATCAGTCCAATAGACATCAGAGCCATTGCATGAAGATTAGGCTCCAAGGACGAAAGAGCCAATACTTTGGGTTTGCCTGAAAATGAAGTAAAGCTATTGCTTGCCAATCACCACAGTACCCAGTCTCTATTTTTCATTTTTCTTATTTTTGTTTCTTCAGTGTTTGTAACTGGTCAATAACATGAAAAAGTCCTCCAAAACACCCGTCAATGAAAAGAAGTGGGAAAGAGAGGAAATCCCTGTTTAAAATTCAGGATCCAGTAAACGCTCAAACCCAGAAAAAGTTATCATCAACTAGACACACAGGAGTCTCAGCCTTCAATAAAATATAAATGCACAAACAAGCAAAGGTTGCCCACCTCGAACTGCTGCAAAGTAGAGTATGATCCGTTGGCAAGCTTCTTCCTCACAGTGGAAAAATCCATTGGATGCTCGATAATATCATGGTAATCTGGAAGCTACAAAAACAGAAAGTAATTCACTCATTAAAATCACATCAAATAGTATGGTATCCACTCGGTACGCTGAAAAGGAAGAAATTGCAAATACCTCCTCAGGATCAACAGGCTCGGCATAAACACCGTATATATCTTTCCTGCCACAATCACAACACATTGAGACATTTACAGGGGAAAAAAGTTTAATAGATACCCATTTGAAAAGGAAACAAAATATATATGGAAACCGCACTTCTGGAGTTTGTCGAGTATCAACTCGAGCTTCCTCTTATCCGGTAGCGGAATCCCTGATGAAGGAGCTGGAGACCTCGACATCGCTAACCAAACCAAATCAAAAGTTTCGAATGCATTCGAGTTAAATCGGAACATAAGCACTCTAAATTCAAAAGCTCAAACCAGAAACCGGGAAACCCGGGGAACGAGACCAGACCTCGGGGAGAGTTGAGACCTGCCGATTTTTCTCCAAGACCTCTTTCCTGGAAAAGTCCATTAGACCACAAAATCTCAGCACCCGCACACACAAACTCATAACCCGACACAATATTCTTACTAACAGAACAAGCAAAAGACTGATCATTGTATGAAAACGAGAGCCCTCGACAGGGACAGAGGCAGAGACAAGGAACAGACAACACGCAAGTACAAGCAAGGTGAGGTTTTAAATACAGAGGTAGAGAGAGAAAGGTGGGACTGGCGAGCGTGATTAGATTCTGTTTGCGTTAGTTATCGACAGTTGACCGTTATCTGTCTGTCTCTCTCTCTCTCTCTGAGGAACGACCTAGAGAGAAAGTTGGCGAGTGCGCGAATTTACAAGTCTGGACCAACTAGAAAAATCTCTCAAGTGTTCTCGTCTGAGCTGGACACGATCGCAATCTCAGCGCAGTTTCCATCTCCATCCACACAAATCTCCAATTTTGCGCACCGTCTCGGCTTAAACCCTATCGCTGCGCAGTCCCCTCTCCCCCGTTCAGATTTCAGTACCTCCTCGTCGTCGTCATCGCCACCGATCTCCTCCTCCGCGTCCTCGTCCCCGCCGCCGCCCCGCAGCGCCGGCTTCCTCTCCCCGCGCTCCCCCTCGTCCGAGCTGGACGCGCCGCTGTCCTGCGCGTGCTCGCCACGCGCCCCCTGGTCGAGCTTCACCACCAGCTTCAGCTTCTTCGCCCTCCTCCTCTCGTCCCCCTCGTCCTCCTCGTCCTCCTCCTCGTCGAGCTCGTACTCCTCGTCGACGTAGTCGTCGTAGTCGATGAAGTTGTACCTGACGCTCCGCCGGCGGAGGCTCCGGCGGAGGTCCGGCTCCGGCGCCGGCGGCGGGGGCTTCGGCGAGCGCTTGGCCAGATCCGACTTCGGCGGCCGCCCTTTCTTCTTCCTCTTCACGATCTGGCCCATCATCGCCCCCCCCCCCCCCCGGAAGCACAGTGGGCGCGCGCGCGGACGCACACACACACGCACACACGCTTTCTCTCTCTAGAAACTCTCGCACTGTCTTTCTCTCTCCTCGCTTGCTTCCATTAAATTTTTCGGTGTTGCCTTCGGCATTCCCCCTTTCCTGTGAGGAGAGAGAGGACTTCATTGGGCCGAACCTGAGGCCGAGCCTGGAATTTGAGTCCGCCGAAGCTGAGGGTCGGGGGGGGGGGGGGGACGTGGGGCCCGGGTCGGGGAAATGATTGATTGGGTGGGAGGGGGTAAAGAAAACGGCGTCAAATGGGGGATATGGGAGGAACGGGGGCGATTTTGGCGCTGCCCGCTGCCCGGGCCCCTGCCCGTTGCCTCCTGTCGTTTTGCAATTTTCTACAGCTTTCGATGGCGTGGGCGATGGGTTGTACGGACTACGCGCGGTGTAAGGCGCGTGTACGCGCGCACTTCGTCCTCCTCTCCTCGTTCGGAGTTTTTGGGCCCACGGCCTCACACTCGAGTCCCAAAAGGTGCGATATAGTAAAGTTATTCAGTCGTCTTTACAAGTAGAGCACAAGAAAGTTGACTTTGCTATATTTTTTTTATTTCGAGTGAACAGCAAGTCATAAAACTTGCCACGAAATTATAATTAAATTTTAAAATTTTTAAAATATAAAATTAAAGTTGCGTTTGATTTGATTTTGGAGGGGCCTTCAGGTTAAAGGAATTTTTCCGAGATGCAAGTATTATTTGGTAAAGCGTAATTTAAAAACATATTAGGAAGTAACTTTGACTTAAATGCCGTTTGCTTGAAACTACATTTTATAAAGAACTTTTCCTAATTTAAAAAACAAAAACGCTCTTAAACTATTTGCTAGCAGAACTTAACCGCCGCCGACCAGATCTAGGCGCTAACCAATCTCGCACGAGGATGCCTCATCTTAGGCAACGTCACGTGGGTCGCGCGACGCCTCGAGCAAAGGTCGTTGGCCTTCGTCCAACTCCACTATGCAAACCGCCGGGAAGATGAACGTTGCCGCTGAATAGTGAATAGTACCAAGACAAGCATTCCAAGAATACTACTTTCCAAAGCACTTCCGGACCTACTTTGGATTAAAAGTCTTTTAGAAATGTAATTTTATTTTCCCAAAGCCATCTAAAAAATTTGTCAAGCGCGATTTGCATTTGCCCAAAGGACTTTTGGGCCCCAAAGTCCTTTGCAAATGCTGAACCAAACGCACCCAGTCTTAGAACTTATCATATTAGTGCAAATTACAATCAAGTCCTTTCGGCACCGGAAAAAATTACCAAAAAAGTCCTAAACCTATGGGTCCTAATCCTTTTAATTGTGTCAATTAAGTCCTAAACATTTTCACTTTTTTTCCAATTGAGTCCATCTAGCTAATTTTGCCCGGAAATCGCTGACGTGAATGTTAACCATCTTACATGGCATGGCTGGTGCTAACCTAGACAATTTTTAATAATATTTTATATATTTTTTTATTTTTTTTTCTTTTTTCTTCTAAATGGTACAAGGTTCACCGGGCCCTCATCGGTAGGGGTGTCAGAACCGAACCGAAAAATCGAACCGAGATACAAACCGAACCAAACCAAAAATTTGATGCATTTCGGTTCGGTTTCGGTTTCGGTTCGGATCATGGAAAATTAGTCGTATCTTTTTTGCAGTTTGGGTTATTTCAGTTCGGTTCGGTTTGGTAAACCGAACCGAAAGCCAACTTAAATTAAAATCTCTCCTTTCTCACCCTTCTCGAACCCTAACTGGCTCTGAACCGAGAACCATCGCTCTCTTCTCCGGCGGCTCCTTGGTCCCTCTTGCCAGTCGCGTCTCAGCCGATTTCGCCGGAACCCTAGTTCCATTTACTTTCTCATCAAGAAGCAGGGGAAGAAGAACGAAGAAAGAAGCTGCTCGATTCCGAGGAAAGACCGGAAACAGAAAAAAGCAAGAAGAAGTTTCGGCGTCTAGGCCGGCCATGAGCTCCGAGGAGTTGATGATCTCGGGGCGGGTCGGGTCCGACCATAGAGGCCAGGATTTGGACCGGAAGGACTTGGGGTCGGAGAGAGGGGAGGGGAAGATGGATCCGAGGGTTAGAGGTGGCCACGGTTCGGAATCGACCGGTTCCGGTTCGTGGCCAAGTGTGAACCGGAACCGGTTTCGGGCCGGTTCCTATTTTTTTCTGTTTTTTTTCTTTTCCTTTTCCTTTTCTTTTTTTTTTCTTCCTCCGCGGCCGGCCATAGCCGGAGCCGGCGCGGAGGTTGCCGGCCTCTAGGCGAGGCGGCCCTGCCTCACCCGACGCCGGCGAGGTCGAGCCTCGCCAGTTGCAGGCAAGGCCGAGCCTTGCCGGCGTCGGGCGAGGCCGGCCTCGCGCCCCCAGCGAGGCGGCCGCCCGACGGGCGAGGTCGAGCCTCGCCGGGTGCGGCGAGGTCGAGCCTCGCCGCCGGGCCGGGCGAGGCCGGCTCGCCGCCCGGCGGGCGCCTCGCTCGAGCCGGCGAGGGCCCCTCGCGCCGGCGGGTCGAGCCTCGCCTGCAGCGAGGCGAGCCTCGCCTCGCCGGCGCCAGCGAGGCCCCTCGCCCGGCCACGCCGGCGACCTCGCCCGCGCCGCGACCCCGCCAGCCGGCCATGGCGGCCGGCAGAGGAAAAAAAAATTAAAATATAAATTATAATTTTAAAAACAAACAAGGAAAAAGACAAAAGAGAAAAAGGAAAAAAGAAAAGGAAAAGGAAAAGAAAAAGAAGAAAAACAGAAAAGGAAAAACAGAAATGAAAATAAAAAAAAATTTAAAAAATACTATTCTTGTGATAGAACATTATTCAATATATATTGTGATTAAAATGTAAATTGTACTCAAATTTGGGAACAAAAAGACAAGAGAGAAAGAGAGGGCTTCAACTTAATAAATTATCATTAAGCACATTACAATTCGTTACAACGATCTTAAAAAAAAGGAGTACAATATATATACCCTAAAATTATCCCAAAACCTAAGCATTCCGTGCGCAGGGACTGGAGAGGTCACATATCGTCGGATTATATTTCGGTTTCCCTAAGCTCACGTGGGCGTACCCGGTATGAGAAACAAGAGTTCCCGAAATATTTGCCAACTCCAATAGTTCTTTTACCCTCAATCGTCACTACCCGTTCCAGTACCGATAGTGGTAGCGGTAGTATCTCCGTCGTTAAAGAATTCGGATTCATTATTCCGATCTATCTCTTGTTGCCGGTATTGAGCCTTCGTCCAATCAGCAACACAAGCTTGCATCTCCACTGATTCTGGATATAATCTTGAACGATGTTCGTTCAAAATATTACCTCCGGCACTGAATGCTTGTTCGACCGCAACTGTAGAACAAGGGGTTGAAAAAATCTATTTTGCAATAAGAGAAAGGATTGGGTATTGTCTTGCGTGCCTCTTCCACCAATCCAAAATAAAAAAATCTGTACCACCTTCGGCTTCAGTAAACTCAAATAAAATGGTTAGATAATTCTCTAATTCAGAAATATTTCCTATTGCTCCCTTTTGTTTTTTTTGTCTATGTAATAAAAGTTGGTACCCTCTACTAATTTTACCTGTACTGTCATTTTGTATCTCCGTAGATTGAGAAGATCTAATATCACATAAATTATATTTAGTATAAAATTCATTATATAATTCTATTACTACGTTTTTAACCTCACGTACTATGGTTGTAACATTTGTCACATCATAATGTAAACATTGATAATACGCACGCAAAAAATCATTTAAGCCATCCAATTTGCAACGCGGATCAAAAACACAAGCAACTAAATAAATAATGGGAATTTCACTATAATAATGAAGCCATTTCATTTTCATTGCAACTACAGTATGTTGTAATTCAACATCATTTTCATATTCATCAAAAGTTCCGACAATATTAGTACACTCTACTAAAAATAAATGTGTAGTAGGATAATAAACACCAGACAAAGTATAAGTTGCATCATTAAAAACCTTTAAAAGATCTAAAATTTTTTGGCAAATATGCCACTCTTGTGGGTATAAATTAATCTCAGGTATATTATTAGAAATGAATGCACATAATAAATCTTTATATGCTAAAGATTCACTAAGCAAGTGGAAAGTAGAATTCCAACGAGTTGGAACATCTCTTGGAAATCTTTTTGGCTTTTTGCCATTATCTCTACAAAATCTACCCCATTCTTTCATTTTTTTGGGATGTTTCCATAAAAATTGAATCGCCGTTTTTATTGGTTGAAGAAAAATATCAAGAGTTTTCAAACCATCTTGTACACATAAATTTAAAACATGACAAGCACATCTAATGTGAAAAAATTTTCCGCCAAAAGCGGGTTTACAAATATTTTCTAACTCGGCAATTGAAGCGGTATTTGCTGCGGCATTATCAAAACCAATTGAAAAAATTTTGTTAAGCAAATAATATTCTTCTAAAACTTGCCTAATTAGTCTATAAATATTATTTGTCGTATGATGATCATCGAAAACTCTAAATGCAATAACTCTTTTTTGAATAGTCCACTCGTCATCTATCCAATGACATGTTATGCCCATGTAAGAATGATTTTGCCAATGATCACTCCAAATATCACTACCTATATGCACGCATCCATTAAATTGCATAAAAAAGTTTTGTAAATCATTTTTTCCATTTTTGTAAAGATCTTTAATTACTCGTTTAGTTGTATTTCTAGAAACACGTTTTGCTTATGGAGCACATGCTTTTTGTACAAATTCATTAAAACCAAATCTTTCTCCAAAATTAAATGCTAAATGCTCAACGGAAATAAATTTGCCTAATTCTTCCTTATAAGTTTTTTCATTAAAACGAAATAAAGGGGAAGTGTTAGGATTGACGTACCCGGAAATTTGTTGTTGCCCGATATCGATTCCCGTTTCAGTTGGATGTTTGCTCATAAGATGTCGTTTAAATGTTCCATATCCTTGTCCACCTGTATATTTATATATTTTTCCACAATATTTACAAATTATATCATACCTTTTTTGACCGATATCAAACCTTTCCATTTTCGTGAAGTGATTCCAAATGTCGGATGTAAATTCCCGTTCCGCTTTCTTTGTTGTAGATATTTCAGCAGGAGGATGAAAACTT